GAACATAAATCACTCTTGTGATTTTCTTAAACGATGCGTCTATGTCTCCTCTACAAAACCTATATAGTCGTTGCCCGTCACAATCTCTTTAAAATGGTCCAAATTTATCTTTTCGTGCCCTACCCCCCTAATCTCATTTTGTCAATTCCACAATAAAATTTTCAGTTTTTTAACCGTAACTTCAGATTTTCGAACATAAACCACTCTGGAGATTTTCTTAAACGATGCGCCAATGTCTCGTCTACAACACCTATATAGTTGTTGCCCGTCACAATCTCTTTAAAATGGTTCAAATTTATCTTTTAGTGCCCTACCCCCCTAATCTCATTTTGTCAATTTCACAATAAAATTTTCAGTTTTTTAACCGTAACTTCAGATTTTCGAACATAAACCACTCTGGAGGTTTTCTTAAACGATGCGCCATTGTCTCCTCTACAACACCTATATAGTCGTTGCCCGTCACAATCTCTTGAAATTGGTCCAAAATTAACTTAAATTGGCCTACCCCCCTAATCTCATTTTGTCAATTTCACAATTTCAGTTTTTTAACCGTAACTTCAGATTATCGAACATAAACCACTCTGAAGATGTTCTTAAACGATGCGCAATTGTCTCCTCTACAACACCTATATAGTCGTTGCCCGTCACAATCTCTTGAAATTGGTCCAAAATTGATTTAAATTGGCCTACCCCCCTAATCTCATTTTGTCAATTTCACAATAAAATGTTAATTTTTTTAACCGTAACTTCCGATTTTCGAACATAAACCACTCTGGAGATTTTCTTAAACGATGCGCCATTGTCTCCTCTACAACACCTATATAGTCGTTGCCCGTCACAATCTCTTGAAATTGGTCCAAAATTAACTTAAATTGGCCTACCCCCCTAATCTCATTTTGTCAATTTCACAATTTCAGTTTTTTAACCGTAACTTCAGATTATCGAACATAAACCACTCTGAAGATGTTCTTAAACGATGCGCAATTGTCTCCTCTACAACACCTATATAGTCGTTGCCCGTCACAATCTCTTGAAATTGGTCCAAAATTGACTTAAATTGGCCTACCCCCCTAATCTCATTTTGTCAATTTCACAATAAAATGTTAATTTTTTTAACCGTAACTTCCGATTTTCGAACATAAACCACTCTGGAGATTTTCTTAAACGATGCGCCATTGTCTCCTCTACAACACCTATATAGTCGTTGCTCGTCACAATCTCTTCAAATTGGTCCAAAATTAACTTAAATTGGCCTACCCCCCTAATCTCATTTTGTCAATTTCACAATTTAAGTTTTTTAGCCGTAACTTCAGATTTTCGAACATAAACCACTCTTGAGATTTTCTTAAACAATGCGTCTATGTCTCCTCTACAAAACCTATATAGTTGTTGCCCGTCACAATCTCTTTAAAATGGTCCAAATTTATCTTTTAGTGCCCTACCTCCCTAATCTCATTTTGTCAATTTCACAATAAAATTTTCAGTTTTTTAACCTTAACTTCAGATTTTCGAACATAAACCACTCTGGAGATGTTCTTAAACGATGCGCCAATGTCTCGTCTACAACACCTATATAGTCGTTGCCCGTCACAATCTCTTTAAAATGGTCCAAATTTATCTTTTGGTGCCCTACCCCCCTAATCTCATTTTGTCAATTCCACAATAAAATTTTCAGTTTTTTAACCGTAACTTCAGATTTTCGAACATAAACCACTCTGGAGATTTTCTTAAACGATGCGCCAATGTCTCGTCTACAACACCTATATAGTTGTTGCCCGTCACAATCTCTTTAAAATGGTTCAAATTTATCTTTAAGTGCCCTACCCCCCTAATCTCATTTTGTCAATTTCACAATAAAATTTTCAGTTTTTTAACCGTAACTTCAGATTTTCGAACATAAACCACTCTGGAGATGTTCTTAAACGATGCGCCAATGTCTCCTCTACAACACCTATATAGTCGTTGCCCGTCACAATCTCTTGAAATTGGTCCAAAATTAACTTAAATTGGCCTACCCCCCTAATCTCATTTTGTCAATTTCACAATTTCAGTTTTTTAACCGTAACTTCAGATTATCGAACATAAACTACTCTGAAGATGTTCTTAAACGATGCGCAATTGTCTCCTCTACAACACCTATATAGTCGTTGCCCGTCACAATCTCTTGACATTGGTCCAAAATTAACTTAAATTGGCCTTCCTCCCTAATCTCATTTTGTCAATTTCACAATAAAATGTTCATTTTTTTAACCGTAACTTCAGATTTTCGAACATAAACCACTCTTGAGATTTTCTTAAACAATGCGTCTATGTCTCCTCTACAAAACCTATATAGTTGTTGCCCGTCACAATCTCTTTAAAATGGTTCAGATTTTCGAACATAAACCACTCTTGAGATTTTCTTAAACGATGCGCCATTGTCTACTCTACAACACCTATATAGTCGTTGCCCGTCACAATCTCTTGAAATTGGTCCAAAATTGACTTAAATAGGCCTACCCCCCTAATCTCATTTTGTCAATTTCACAATAAAATGTTCATTTTTTTAACCGTAACTTCCGATTTTCGAACATAAACCACTCTGGAGATTTTCTTAAACGATGCGCCATTGTCTCCTCTACAACACCTATATAGTCGTTGCCCGTCACAATCTCTTGAAATTGGTCCAAAATTAACTTAAATTGGCCTACCCCCCTAATCTCATTTTGTCAATTTCACAATTTCAGTTTTTTAACCGTAACTTCAGATTATCGAACATAAACCACTCTGAAGATGTTCTTAAACGATGCGCAATTGTCTCCTCTACAACACCTATATAGTCGTTGCCCGTCACAATCTCTTGACATTGGTCCAAAATTGACTTAAATTGGCCTTCCTCCCTAATCTCATTTTGTCAATTTCACAATAAAATGTTCATTTTTTTAACCGTAACTTCAGATTTTCGAACATAAACCACTCTTGAGATTTTCTTAAACGATGCGCCATTGTCTCCTCTACAACACCTATATAGTCGTTGCCCGTCACAATCTCTTGAAATTGGTCCAAAATTGACTTAAATTGGCCTACCCCCCTAATTTCATTTTGTCAATTTCACAATAAAATGTTCATTTTTTTAACCGTAACTTCCGATTTTCGAACATAAACCACTCTGGAGATTTTCTTAAACGATGCGCCATTGTCTCCTCTACAACACCTATATAGTCGTTGCCCGTCACAATCTCTTGAAATTGGTCCAAAATTAACTTAAATTGGCCTACCCCCCTAATCTCATTTTGTCAATTTCACAATTTAAGTTTTTTAACCGTAACTTCAGATTTTCGAACATAAACCACTCTTGAGATTTTCTTAAACAATGCGTCTATGTCTCCTCTACAAAACCTATATAGTTGTTGCCCGTTACAATCTCTTTAAAATGGTCCAAATTTATCTTTTAGTGCCCTACCTCCCTAATATCATTTTGTCAATTTCACAATAAAATTTTCAGTTTTTTAACCTTAACTTCAGTTTTTCGAACATAAACCACTCTGGAGATGTTCTTAAACGATGCGCCAATGTCTCGTCTACAACACCTATATAGTCGTTGCCCGTCACAATCTCTTTAAAATGGTTCAAATTTATCTTTTAGTGCCCTACCCCCCTAATCTCATTTTGTCAATTTCACAATAAAATTTTCAGTTTTTTAACCGTAACTTCAGATTTTCGAACATAAACCACTCTGGAGGTTTTCTTAAACGATGCGCCATTGTCTCCTCTACAACACCTATATAGTCGTTGCCTGTCACAATCTCTTGAAATTGGTCCAAAATTAACTTAAATTGGCCTACCCCCCTAATCTCATTTTGTCAATTTCACAATTTCTGTTTTTTAACCGTAACTTCAGATTATCGAACATAAACCACTCTGGAGATTTTCTTAAACGATGCGCCAATGTCTCTTCTACAACACCTATATAGTCGTTGCCCGTCACAATCTCTGTAAAATGGTCCAAATTTATCTATTAGTGCCCTAAACCCCTAATCTCATTTTGTCAATTTCACAATAAAATTTTGAATTTTTTAACCGTAACTTCAGATTTTCGAACATAAACCACTCTTAAGATTTTCTTAAAAGATGCGCCATTGTCTCTTCTACAACACCTATATAGTCGTTTCCCGTCAGAATCTCTTGAAATTGGTCCAAAATTAACTTAAATTTGCGTACCCCCCTAATCTCATTTATTCAATTTCACAATTTCAGTTTTTTAACCGTAAGTTCAGATTTTTGAACATAAACCAATCCTGAGATTTTCTTCTCGAACAGAAACCACTCTGGAGATTTTCTTAAACGATGCGCCAATGTCTCCTCTACAACACCTATATAGTCGTTGCCCGTCACAATCTCTTTAAAATGGTCAAAATTTATCTTTTAGTGCCCTTAACCCCTAATCTCATTTTGTCAATTTCACAATAAAATTTTAAATTTTTTAACCGTAACTTCAGATTTTCGAACATAAAGCACTCTGGAGATTTTCTTAAAAGATGCGCCATTGTCTCTTCTACAACACCTATATAGTCGTTTCCCGTCACAATCTCTTGAAATTGGTCCAAAATTAACTTAAATTTGCCTACCCCCCTAATCTCATTTATTCAATTTCACAATTTCAGTTTTTTAACCGTAAGTTCAGATTTTCGAACATAAACCTCTCTGGAGATTTTCCTAAACGATGCGGAAATGTCTCCTCTTAAACAAATCTGATCTAATCTCAGTTACTAATACATTTTTGATATTTGAAAAAAATGTAAACACGATAATCATCACGGCCCTGAGTTATAAAAAAAAAACGAAAGAAACTGCAGTATTACATATTATGGTTTCTCAAACATATCATGGCAACTGGGTTATGCTTTAAACCAACCGACGGCTTCCGCATCATAAGTTCAGACACGGAAACGTTGACTCGAAACGTTATGAATATGATACAGATATATAGATAGGCGAGGATTTGTACAGTAAGTCTTACTCTACAAATCCTTGAGATAACCAATACAATTTTGTTGTTTAAAAGATAGCGAATAATAAACACATACACAAATGGGCGCTTGACCAGTTAACCTTCAAATTACGATTTCAAATTTACAGCAATCTAGACAATTGCCTTTATAAATTTAGAATTATTGTATACAATTATATTTCTTACTGTCCATCCTGGAGCTTGGTCTCTAGAAAACATGGGCCATGTTTTATAGTTCAGATCATGTTTAAAACTTTTGTGAATATTTTCACCAAATCCATACACGTTGGAAGATGGCAGTTGAGTAGAAATTTGAAGAAACTGGTTGGAAAGTGTAAGTCCACCTACTCTCGAATCAAATCTAAAAGGCAAAAAATAATTTATGTCAATTTAACCCCTTTTGAACATAATCACATAATCTCAGCGGTTTCTTTTTAATACGACGGAACGCCGCGGAACAGCTAATTTACAAACATAATCAAATTAAGAGACTACATGGTTTGCAGAAAAATTAAACAGAGAGGCTGCAAAACGATCGGAATGAAGTTTCCAGTTCACTATTATAATATAAATAAAACGAGAATTGAAATACACGCCAATGAAAAATAACCCAACCTCACAAACTTAATATGGTCTCAGCAGTAGACAACCTGTATAACCTACCTAACCAATTCCCGTACAACTTATTTCTATTTAACAACCCAAGTATTGAATTAAATAAAAATCCCAATATCTCGTCCCCACTTCACATTACAAACTTCCCTCCATTATCATTTATCATTTTCCCTTGCCTTTCCTAGTGCTGTGTGTCTGAACTCTCCACACATTGTAGCTATATGGTAAGAAAAAAATCTAGTCTAAATCAAGAACTCACATTACAGTGCCCGTTGAACGACGTTTGATTTCAAATGCAAAATCATCTCTGTCCACGATATTAACTTCATAATTTATCCTGGAAGCTTCCGCTCGAGTTTTTGGGATATTCAACGGTACTGGCACTTCATATCTTGTATTTGCTTTGTCGTAAAACTATATAAAAAAAGAAGAACAATGTCAGTTTAGTCGTCAGAAAAATAGACATTAAGCTGTCAAAAATACAATACTGCATACATATATCATTGCGGCATACTGCATAATAAAAAAAATAGAATGAGTGTAACTAGATAAGGTCATCTTTGTTAGAATGGGAGAAATCAGTGACAAATACATAGGGAAATATAAAGTTAAACAATTTTTTTAGTTTTGAAATAAGCTTCGCAATAACGACGTACTAAAGAATCCCTTTCATACCGACCATTCGACTGTGTTGGCCATTCTTACGTAATAGAATGTTTTCCACTGGACATTTAAGCAAACAACACTCAATAAATATGTCATAAAAATTGTTTGGAGAACAACTACTATCTTTAAAAACACACAATCAAGATAGTCCATGCCGTGAATCAATGAGACCGATGTTCCTTTGCTTTTGGTTTTGTCAAAAGTAAAATAACAAAAATACTGAAGCGCGTGTAGTGACTTGTGATTTCATATTTTCCTTTAGGATAATTAATGAAACCCATCAGCGAGAAGCCATTACGTCTAGTATAAACCCGTCAGTTGGATATATAAAAAGGATAACAGGAATTATAAAAAAAATCGGACAGTACAACACTTTACATGCCATGGAAAGTTGTCTCATTAGCAATCATACCACATAACTTTTTGTTTATACACACCAACCACAAACACCAGACTCATCCAAAAAATAGAGTACAAAAAAAAACCAACATCAAACACATGGTCCAGATACCGTGACTTGGTACAGACACACAAAATGGTAGCTGTTGGTTCATTATTCATCTACGATTTGGAATACCGTGTTGTTTTGTTTTATTAAAATTCAACGATTAATAAAATTCATATTTTGTTATATGAATGAATATGCTTAATAGAATTGTAAAGAAAATGGAGGAGATTACTGCACATAAACGGAGTTTTGTTTCTGTGGTTTGTATATATATATGTCTCTGTTTGTAAGAAGGGACCATTTGGAAAGTATAGACTATCATATATATGTTATCGGTACATTTCCGTGTTGTCATTAAAGGATGTCAAGGAAACGAGAAAATTTGACCGCTTTAAAGATATCAACCGAACTAGTACTTGTAAAATAACTATGAGTCCAGGGACTTATGTATATAGATTAACGTTAAATGACACTTTTTATAGTTAGAACGGCTGAAGAAAGCATCTGGTCAAACATAATTATCTATGTCAATCAGTCACTATATTGTTATCAAGATTTAATTAAGATTGCAGCAAAATGTCTTTCAACATAAACATTTAATGATGAAAATTTGCTTGAAAAAAGGTACAATATACTGGCTGTATTATTATATCTCTAATAAAATTCGAGGTTAGTTCTAAACTTTAATGAAACCGCTACCCACCAATATAAGTTTTATCTATTTATATTAAGTATGAAAATAAGGAGATGTGGTTTGATTGCCAATGGGACAACTATTCACCAGAGACAAAATGTGTGGCTGTAAGCGGCTTAATGTCATCGTACGGCCTTCAAAAAACGAGCAAAACCCCTAATGTAAAATAAACTATAAAAGTTAAAGATCAAACACGCCTTAAGCGCCCTCTACCCCCTCTGAATCCTCCACTGGTTAACACATACACACAAGCCCATATAAAAATAAGGAGATGTGGTATGGTTTCCAATGAGACAACTATCCACCAAAGTTCAAATGAAGTGGATGCAAGCAATTATAGGCAACCTAACGGCCTTCAACAATGAGAAAAACCCATACAGTATGGTCGGCTATAAAAGGACCCGACATGAAAAATATGAAACAATTCAATTGAGAAAACTAACGGACTAATTCATAACAAAACAATTTACGAAAAACAAATATGACAGACATGAACCAACGACCACCACTGAACTACAGGCTCCTGACTTGGGACAGGCACATAAAGAATGTGGCGGGGTTAAACATGTTTGTGAGCACTCAACTCTCCCCCTAACCTGGGACAGTGGTGTAACAGTACAACATAATAACAAACTATAAAATCAGTTGAAAAAGGCTTAACTCATCAGATGGATACAAATAGAAATACATTTAACAAAATCACAGAGTGGACGTGGAATGGTACTTATATATCCCAAAAACAAAAATAAACTAAGTACAGATCTTTGAGTACTCGCAGTAACTAACAGCTAGTTCAAAGCCAAAAACAACTAATGAAGAAAATCATGTATCTAAGACTAAAATGTCAATCAGTACACATCCAACATCCAATGGATTTAGTGTAACGACGTCATTAACAGTCAGAGAAAAAACATGACCTTGTGCAATGACAAACTATAGGTATCGACAGATTGTAGTACCGTGAAAGTACATATGTGTAATATTTAGGTTTTAATTTACTGATAACAAAATCAATATCTATACCATAGCTGTTCAAAATGTTGAGATAAACGAGTTTTAGTTAGTTTTCGGAACCCTAGTGACCATTCCCCTTTCTAGAAGTCGCATAACAAAAAATCTTTTCAAATTTATGTACAACTTATGTATCACCTTCATTTGAATTTTGCTATCTCAATGATGACAAAGAAACTGTTTTCGTTGTTGGATCTTCTTTTAGGACGGTTATCTATATTTTAATTACTACGATATTTTAATTTTCAGATTTATGTACATGGACACATCCTGATCATAAGCTTCGGAAAACCAACGAGATGAATTTTGGTTTTCGTGCAACATTGAACAAAGTATAACACATCTGTTTCTCCAAGAATAGAATCGAAAAACAGAACCCAACTTCTAAATAAAAAGAGGGCATATAGGTCAACGAAGCAGCAATCAAACGACATAAATAACTATAAAAGACGTGTAGTAGTCAACATACTGTGTTTTACCTGATAGATTCATGTCTAATATGGCAAACCGTCTAAATCATCTAAGTTGCAAAAACTTATGACAGACGATCATGAAGTTTATCATGTATGGTTTGTTTGGTAAAAAAAAATATTTTAATGAAAAATTACCAACCTTTAATCGGGCTAAGTTTTCACTAAGGAATTGCACTTCAAAAGTAGGCTCCACAAATCGAGGACTTCTCGATTCGAACGGTGAATTTCCTTTCTGTTGAAGATTTACTTTATACCCAAGTGGTGTAGTCGAACTTCCCTTTTCTGCTGAAAATCCATAGTCTTTATTGACAGGAAAGAAACAGGAAGGAACTCCAGCAATTGTTACTGATTTGTCATAAATACAATTTCTATCCTTGCATTTATCTTCTGTCAATCCTACATTTTCGGGAAAACAATCAATTCTTTGGGTTTGTTTTCCTGGTGCTTGAGGTGTATTTATGCCACCGTCGTTGTTTTTACTCCCTGTATCCTTCCTTTTATCCTGTCTAGTCGCTTCATATGCCACCGGTACTAGAATTGCCGCTAAAACAGCTATCACTAAACAAATTATTCCTATCCGTTTCCGACTACAAGTCTTGCCCATATTGGTAGAAAAAGATCACTTGTTGTTATCTATGTTTATATATTATTTGGTTTAAAACATATTAGTTCCCTTGGAGAACGTAGAAGATATGCATATAAAAATCCTTAACTTGAAAATATAAACGTTAGATGGAACTTGAACTGAACAATTCTTGAAGTTCATATGTGATCATGTCTAATAGCTTCCAGTAATTAGTACCTGAAAACAGATACAAACTTAGTAATATAATTGTTATCTCTGGATCTTTGGCGGTCATCTGAGGACTCGCAGCATAATCTCCCGGAACAACGGAAATATTCAGTGTGATAACATAGTTTACCAGTGTGGAATGAAGAATATCTTAGATCTTTTAGAACAAACTGGGTATCTGAGATAATTCTATTAACGAAGAGGACAGAATATGAAATTAAATGGGACAATTATATCAATAGAGTGGACAAATTGTAAATTACAATACATGTACGACGAAAAGAGAAAAAATGTTGTCCATAATTTCATAATGTTAAAAATTACTTATTTTTTATATATATTTGAAAATTCGTGTGCACTTGCAAATCCGGTTAAACCTTAAATTGACGTGTTTGGAACTCGCTTAGCTTAAATAATACATAACCATCAGTAAATAAGTCATTCAAAAAGTACATTTACAAGCATGCCTATACATATCTATAGATCATTTGAAAAAGGCATTCGCTGCACAAAATCAACACATGATATCTATTATCAAATTATATTCATTCATAGAAATTTCATGCTTAAAATAGCAACCAATATTTACACGATTCTTCGTAAATAAATGCCACATGACTTTTCCAGAGCAGACGTACCATGCACATGCTTAAGTATATTGTTTATGCAGTTACAGCATTTTTTTTCACTTCTGCGTGATAGTATCATCAGTTGTCTCCTTGAACTTGTAGACTAATTAAGTGACTTACCGTTGCACTGGTACAATGGACGAGTATGTTCCCAATATAACGGATGTTTGTTTTTCATTTAAAAGGACATGTGTTCTTTATACCATCACCATTCAAAAAGTAAACGGTATATAAATAAATTACCTGTTATTTTATTTACAGATCACTTCACATGTAAAAGGATACTTCTGTCGAAACTACGAATATAAAAATACAAAATGCGATGTAAAATTAAAGCTCATAAACCTTGTAGGAAGGAAAGTAGGAAAAACGTATTGCGGTATTTTGATATGTAAAAGCAGAGACATATAATACTATATTACATGTCTCTGATAAAAGTAGCTGTTTATATACCAATTTAATCTAATCTAACTTATCTTTAAACCCCTTTGTAGAGGAACAATATTTTCATATGTAGAACAGGTGCTCTCTTTATATACAATGCTGTTACTCCTTCCACCATTGAGCATCTAAACATATTTACATGCTCAGCTCGGGTGCTCTCTCTATATAGTGCTGTTACTCCCTCCACCATTCGATATCTGATGTGCGCATATTTACAGTGAAGTCCTACCCCCACACAATTTGCATAAAATCCTTTATTTTAAGTTTAGTTCACTTTATTCCAGATACTTATTCTGTATAATATAAGATAATAAAATAAATTTGTCGATTACATTTCCGCCTAAAATATGCCTACTGCATCTGATTCAATCCAGATTAGATCGTATAAGAGATATTTTATTTCCAATTATGGGCCTCAAAGGGCATAAACATTACAACATCAATAATTTTTCATAATACAATACAAACAATGAGATAAAAAAAAAAAAAAAAAAAAAAAAAAAAAAAAATGATAGCGCTTGACAAAAACTATAGGCCTTTCCACACACCCTTTTATCGTCTATCGGCACGGCAGATGCAATAGGTAACACAGATCAAAATCTATCGTATTGCAATGACAGTCGAAAACGTAGGGTAAAGGCTGCTGTACACAATAATCAAAATCTATAACTATATGTGGTTTCATGAAGTTTTCTTATACTTGTACTAGTAATGTTTGGGAAGGCTGTGTCGATGTCCGGGATGTAAGACAGAGTCATCATATATAAAGAAACAGTCAGTTCCATTAGTTTCATCAAGACAGTATTTTCTCAATTTAACCAAACATTGTGATGGTGACCATATTGCATGTCAGCCAGAACATTATCCAGTACGATTCTGAAAGCAGCCCCATAGGACCAAACATCTGGTCTCCTTTCATAAGAAAATGCTTTCCTTTTGCTTCTTGTAACAAATATAGTTGTCTCTATAATACATGACAAACTGACATTCTCATTGAACAATGACCTATGAAAACGGGATCATTTTCAATTGAGCCTGTCTGTATGACAGACAATCACATGTGCACCTGACTAACGTCACGGTACCCAAATTGCACACATTAAGAAAAAATAGCAGCCGAAATCTTACAAGTTTTCCTAGAGACTAAACAATTTGTATTTTTATGATTTGACATTATGGCCGTCTTTCAACATAGCTAAATATATCTAAATATACACAAAACGTTCACAGTATATATCAACAGACGAAGTATCCACCAGAAAAAGTAAAAATTACTGAAATGTGGCCATGCGACCTCCACAAAATCCAACTTTTAAAAAGGAGCAATTAAAATGTATTACAGACATCCATTTCTTATAAAATGAATAGAAAACATCGACTATTGTCAAATTGTTCTAAATATTTGGAGAAATAAAACAAAACATCAGTTATTCGATTTTTACAGATGTGAATTTAAGCATGGGTGCAATTTGGGTACTCCTCATAACAGAATTATGGATCGTTTGGAGGTGGATTCAATCATATTTTCTATGACTAAATATGGATTCAAAATTAAATTGGTGGAGCTATATAGTAAATAAGGATACATCATCCAAATAAACACAGAATGGAAACTTTTGTCTGGATCATAAATAAACGTAGGTGAAAAAACTGTCAAAATAGGTACCCTCACGTTACATACCATATATAGTTGACCTTAAGTGCTTTTACTTAAAGCTGGGAACAATATATCTAGTCAATATATATGTTCCTGCTTAAAGTAACTAGAATATGATTTATACATGAATATTTAACTTTGATAAATGAACTATGAATATGTCATGGTAAGGTGACCATTTACACCTTAAAATGATTCTATAGAAAAGACACACATCCCTAGTTCCTTACAGTAACTAAGATACTGACCTAATCACTAAAATCTTAAAATGATTAATACACCATGAAAATGCAGCCAAGGTCATGAAATGGCCAATGCTAGAACAACATGTACAACTTTCTTTAGACCAAATGGTGTTGACAAAATACTTGCATTTATTGATAAACTGACCTCATCACAAATCATTGATCAATGAAAATGAGGCCAAGGTATGTTCTCTCATGTCAACTTATCACAAATCATTGATCCATGAAAATGAGGTCATGGTCTGTTCCCTCATGTCACCATATCACAATTTTTAATTCTAAATATAGTTGACTATAACTCATTGTAAAATAGTAAAAAAAAAAAAAAAGGATCAAACCAACTGTATTCAGTTTTTCAATCAGTTAGTTAGGTCAAGAAGTCACAGAGCCATTGGAATGGGGTTAAGGACAACAGAAACTTCAGTGTACTGTACACAAATGGATCCATATATAAAGAGATATGGATTATCCCTATGTCTCTTTCTGAAATATGAAGTCAAATAATTTACTACACATTAGCCACCACTAGATTAGCATACTAACATTTTATCTTAGATTAATCCCTTGTAATGTAAAACAGACTGTTAAGTTATTAAATCATAATTAAACTTCATTATGCACTGACTAAGAAAGTCAAGGTCAGCTATGCACATTACAATATATGATTTAATAAGATGGGCAAATTGTATGACATATGAACTTTAAATAGAAGAGACTATCCATGAGGGTCTTGTAAGTCAACAATTAATTTTGTGTTAGTTCCTTAGTAAATAAATTTGTGAAGAAGTAAATTCTGACATATGTAGAATATATCAAGAATCTCTCTAATGATAATAAATCAATAGCAGCTAGAGAAAAAAATGCACATTTTCTTACATTTGTACACAGCAAAGGCTACAGTAGGGATATGCTCACTTATTCAGTTAAAATGGTTTATCTATTTTGATGATCTGATGATTTTACCTACTTACTGGCCTTTCACAAATACTGCCGATTTCATAATTCAGTTTTATATTCTAAATATCATGATGAAACTTCATATAACATATTAGGAGTGTTGTTTCTGATATTTTTGTATTCTTGACCAGCTGTACCCAATCAAAAGCTGTAGCTACCTTAGCTAGCTTCCTGTAGTAGTGAGCACATTATTACTCTGCTTTCCAAAGTATGTGCTGTTTTTTTTTTTTTTTGCCTTGTTCAAGTTAGTGGTCACCATGTTTGTAGCTCCACTGTGCAGGTTTTCTTACTGTGTATTTAAGTTTTACTACATTCATGATACGTTAAGAGAAGGTCTGGGTGCATGTACAACTAGTTCAACCCTACATTATTCTGTGCTTGTATCAAGTCAGGCTATCAAGACCATGTGATGTTCGTTGTTGTTTGTATGTCTATTTTTGTTCACAGGTGTTGGTGGTTGGTCTGTTGTGCTGTCCAATATTTTTGTTGATTCCTGTAATCCTTTTTATGTAACATTTAACATTTCATACAAGAAACTATTTTCAAAATTAATTTATTTTATTGCAACAAAAACAAATTTGACAAAAACATAGGTAAGATCAGAATTTTAAATTGAATTCATTGTGAAAGTTTCTATACTGAGTAATGAAGATGCAAAACTTTTACTGGGTTATTATTATTAAAGGCAATTATAAATCTATCATTTATCTAACATTACAATTGACTTATTCCACAATATTTCAAATTTTTGTCACATTTTCTATTATTATTAACTATAGAAGCCATGTTTGGTGGTGATTAAGGTCATACACAATAAAAGGGATGTATCATTTCAATTTGTTAATTATGCTTCCCAATTTTCACCATGTTCTGTTTTTTGTAATAGTTGGTGGTCAACTGGACTATCAACATAATTTTGAAGCCAGAAAATTCTATAGGGTATTATTTGGTCAAAAGTGGTTTCAACTGGTACAGTTGTTTTAAAAAGAGAGTAAATGAGTAGTTGGCTTTTGACAATAAAATAAAAGGTGAGATTCAAATATATATATATCACAGTCTTGAATAGCACTATATCATTAAAATATTTACAACAATTTCAATTGTACATATAAATGTGAAATAAGTTTTTTTGATAAACTATTAAAAAATTGGATTACTCTTGGTGAATAACAAAATGCTTATGATGGTGGAATTTGTTAAGGTCAAGTTATGTCACAGATTTTTTGAAGATTTTGCACACAACTTTGGCATTTTTCACTTGAAATAAGAATAAATGCATTTATCTCTTTTATTTTTTGAAATATTATAAATGAATATTCTTGTAACAGATATACCTTTGTAATGAACGCAAGAAAAATTGACAAATAGTCAACTGAATTGACTATTTCAGTATAAATTAATTTATACATTTTTGAACGATAATTTTTTTTCATTGAAACATATTTAAGAAAATAAAACTGATGAACGAATTATCTTTTCAAATCCAACAAGCCCTGCAAAGTATAAACAAAAGCAGTGGCATTGCCCATTTACTTTAAATCATAACGTTAATGATGATAAAGCATTTTATCCAGGGGTTAAAATTAGTGTGGGTCGAGGTCTGGGACCTGTTTATTTGTGGACCTTTGAGTTTTGAATTACAAAAGTCCAGAAACTCCAACACTTTACATTGATGCTTAAAATAGGGCTGTCTGCCTGTAATCTGAATATTCAAACAAATAGTTGCTTCAAAATAAGATTACCTTTCAGATTAAACAAGATCAGAAATTTGATAGAATAGGTATGGGTATCTTCAATATCCTTATGAAACCTTAATTTTTATCCATTTTTGCTTTGCATGGTTCATAAACAAATGAACAATGATGATAAAACTTCTTATCTTAACATGAAAATGTTTTCTAATTGAAACAAACAATTGTCTATTTTGTTTACTATAAACATTTAAAAGTCATCAAATTCCTCTATATCATATTCTTCCTCTTCTTCCTGTGAAGTATTGATTTTTGATTGGCTATTGGTTATGACATCATCATTATCTGTGGTTATGTTTGTTGAGAAAGGAACCACTGAAGAAGCATCCTCATCATCTGTGTCTTGTTCAACATCTTTCTCATCCAATTTTTCAGATCTACAAGATATCAGTTAATTACATGGTAGTTAGTATCTGCCTAGATCAATAATTCTAAAAACAGAGATGTCAAAATTCATGGGTAATTTCTGGCAAATTTTGACAAGGAACACCAAAAATCTGGAGTTATTTATACTAAACATAACTATAGAAAATGATACATAAGTCACTAGGACAAACAAACTCAAAATAGATTTCAACAACTCTGTAATAACAAGACTCTTTCACTGGTATTTATACCTAGTTAGCATTAATGTTTTGTCCCTGGGGACATATTTTTGCACAATAGTACTGATCACATTTACTGCAAGTAAAGTTGCTAAATTAGATTGCTGGATAATAACAACTATATTTTAATCATGAAGGTCAAACACATACAAAATTAACAAAGAGAAAGCCCAAAACTCACCAATAAAGTTACTCACAAGGCAGTCCCAATTGACTGTATTGACATCAAAATTTCAGGTCTAGTTGGCAAACATATTTCACAATGTAAACTTTCTTATTAGTACAGACAATTCAAGCAGGTAAAACCTCAACATTTACAATTTGAATTTTCCTTAAGATGTAAATGATTGTCAGATTTATTGTTTTCAAAGGTATGTAAGAAAACAAATACTTCAAACTTCAAAGTTATTTCAATAAAACATTATTGAACGTAGAGTATAAAGTACAGCGTTATCTCCAAAAACTAGCTGAAGGTTATGTAAGGTCATTTAAAAGTTAGATGACAGTACACAAGAACTCAATTAAATATTTCTAAAGTTAGGTACTATATTCCCAATTTCTTTAGATTTTCATTAGGAGACATATGTTCAATAGAATATGTTTTTGTGTCATTGGGCTGCATTCACTTTCCCCTATACGCAACATCTCCTTTTACTCATTTTTCATTATTTACAATGGATGTCCCAATTAAATAAGATTTTGGTCAAGGAATGAAGAGAATTTAAAGCCATAAAACTGGTATATTTTTATCTTACATTTTTATGTCTACATTTCTTTTAGAAAATTTGGTCAAAACTGAAAATAAAAATGCTTTCATCTGCAAGCCCTCATCCCCAGCCTCTAGGTGCAGGTTGACAGGTTACAAGAAACAACTTCTTTTTAAATAATCTTGGCCATCACATTTGGTTTTTTTTCTCCCTCTTTATTTATTAAATAATATCAATATTGACAATAAAAGGTGATATTTTAATGGTAGATAGTAAAAGTATATAAACTTCAAATAACTGGATAACTCATAAGATAAGACTAAACAGATAAGTTTTTGAAGCTGATTTTCATGACATTAAAATTTGTCTATGTTGAAATAAACAACACATATCAAATTGTAAAAAAAAATAAACTTAATGACATTCAAGACACATTACTGTTGTGAAAACATAGATAAGAAATGTCTCTTTAAAACAAACTATATTTTAAATTATTTATTATGTTTCCCAAAGGATAAATAATCTTTAATCTTAACTTTAAAGTATCGCTTCAAATAAATCCTTAACATTCAATATTTCAGTATTATAAATTATCAGAAATATGTGTGAGAACTGTAAAAGATCAGATGTGATAAGAGCTACTATACAGCACCTGAACTTAAAATGCTAGAAGTATAATTCTTCTTAATCTATTCTTGCAAAATCCTGTTAATCTTGATGATTAATAAATTGGATGATATAGTCTGGTCACTTTAGTACAGAAATTTTATCTGAGATGTCAATGTGGCATTATAAGCATGTTAAAATTTGACATATTTGACAAAAAATGACAATTTTACTCATATTGTTTGGTAAAATTAAATGTGAAGAATAACCTTAACATTGAACATTGCTACAGATTAATAGAGTAGCCAGAGGCACCCTCCATTTTACTGAAAGTTTCCATATCACTTATATTTTCAAGTGCATTACTCCAGTAAATATCATGGATGTGCATTGATTTATAAATTTTTAAAACATTTTTGGGGCCCTTTATAGCTTGCTGTTCGGTGTAAGCCAAGGCTCCGTGTTGAAGACCGTACTTTGACCTATAATGGTTTACTTTTATAAATTTTGACTTGGATGGAGAGTTGTCTCATTGGCACTCATACCACATCTTCTTATATCTATTGACATTAATCTCATTAAATTTCAGTGAGAAAAGTATTTGATTTTCAGCTTATCTAAATTTCAAAGGGTCACCACTTCTCTGAAATAAAAGAACAATGTGTTTGAGGACACGAATGCTCCCCCTGAAGCTTTGCAATTTTCGAAGTTAAAAAAGGGGCATAATTCTAGAACAGTAAATGACTCACTGCCCAAATGTGAACTGTCTGCAAATTTTGGTTCTTGCCATTGTGTATGAGTTTCATAAAATTTGAATGAGGAAAACTTAAGTTAGAGTGTGGAAACAAAAAAAATTCTAATTTTAGAAGTTATAAAGAGCATAACTCTAGAACGATAAGTGACATGCTGCCCAAATTCGAACTCTGTCTGCAACTTTTGGTTCTTAGCATTATGTATGAATTTGCATGAGGCAAACTTAAGTTAGACTTGGATGGAGAGTTGTCTCATTGGCACTCATACCACATCTTCTTATATCTATTGACATTAATCTCATTAAATTTCAGTGAGAAAAGTATTTGATTTTCAGCTTATCTAAATTTCAAAGGGTCACCACTTCTCTGAAATAAAAGAACAATGTGTTTGAGGACACGAATGCTCCCCCTGAAGCTTTGCAATTTTCGAAGTTAAAAAAGGGGCATAATTCTAGAACAGTAAATGACTCACTGCCCAAATGTGAACTGTCTGCAAATTTTGGTTCTTGCCATTGTGTATGAGTTTCATAAAATTTGAATGAGGAAAACTTAAGTTAGAGTGTGGAAACAAAAAAAATTCTAATTTTAGAAGTTATAAAGGGCATAACTCTAGAACGATAAGTGACATGCTGCCCAAATTCGAACTCTGTCTGCAACTTTTGGTTCTTAGCATTATGTATGAATTTGCATGAGGCAAACTTAAGTTAGAGGGGGGAATGAAAATGGGACGGACAGAAAGATGGACAGAAGGACTGACAGTCAAGGGTAACACTTAATGCCGCTGTTGTCTACGGCGGGGCCACAGAAATTCAATCGACTGGTGCCAGATATTTTTATGTAAGGGCATTAACTCCAATTATTAGTTGATTAATGATTTTTGACCATTGAAATGAATGACAGATCATGCCTTATGGATAGTTTTTAGGTGATAATTTTTCTCTCTGTAACTTATTATCTTTATGATAAAGGGGAATTGCATATTCAACACAGTTTTTGAAAAAGACTATGGACAAGTTTAGTCCAGATTGGTAGAGTAGTTTCAGAAGGGTAGATTTTTTTGGAAAAAATAATGACAATGAACACAAAAGTGCCTATCTGTGAAAAATTGCCTTAAATGTAGTCACTCACCTATGTCTATGTACATATTCAACAAAGGACACTTTCATTGAAGACAAGAATAGAATTCATGACAAAAAAAACATTATGTTGATCTTGTATTGGTGATCGTTTTGTCTGTTTAGTTTCTCTCTATCTTCTTTAGTTTTTGCTCAAAACACAAAAGAGGGTAAAAAAAAATCCTCATTTAAGGGCAATCACTACAATAAAGAGTGGCAGTCTACTAACTATATCGGCAAAATTTGATATGTTTGTAGATCTTGCCTTGCTGATCATTTTTGTTATTTAAAGTTTCTTTTTATCTATTACAATTTTAATCATATATTGCAAAACGCAAAAAAAATGGTAAAAATTGACATTAAAAGGAAAAAACTCCACTAAGGAGTCGTCAAACAATTTCCTCCATATTGTCTTATTGTAAATCTTGTCTTGCTGATCATTTTTGCTTATTCAATTTTTTATCTATCTATTAAAATTTTTAAGATATAAGGCAAAAATGCAAAAAATTGGTTAAAAATGCCATCAAAGGGCAATAACTCTAATAAGGAGTCGACTGACGATTTTGATCATGGGGGGACTTATTTGTAGATCTTGTCTTGCTGATCATTTTTGCATTTTAAAGTTTCTTCTTTATCTATTATAGTTTTCAAGATAATAGGCAAAAATGAAAAAAATGGTAAAATAAACTCATATAAGAAGTCCCCTAACAGTGTTGACGTAATAGGACAATTGGTAGAGCTCATCATACTAAACATTTTTGCCCTGTCAGATTTTCTCTATTTATTATGTTTTTCAAAATATAAGACAAAACTTGCATTTTACCCCTATGTTCTATTTTTAGCCATGTCAGCCATCTTGGTTGGCAGCCTTGTCATCAGACACATTTTTAAAACTATATACCCTAATGATGATTGTGGCCAAGTTTGGTTAAATTTGGTCCAGCAGATTTAGAGAAGATTTTTGTAAAAGTTAACGGATGACAACGATGGACGACAGACAAGAAGTGCTGAGAAAAGCTCACTTGGCCCTTTGGGCCAGGTGAGCTAATAAAAAGGGAGCTTTCTTCAGTCAATTCTAATGTTGTTTTAAAGTTATGTGAGAATTGGTTAAAGAGAATTTGAGTTATCTTATGATGTGTTGAGGGAAGGAAAGACATTGGTATACCATAATACTTTCTGTCTTTGACAGGCGTATAAAAGTTAGTTGTAATGAACAACTTACCTGAGAGATAGTCTGACTTTTGAGAATCTGCATATTTCTTGTAAACATGAAAACTGACCTGAAAAAAGAACACCACCAATTATGTGTGTCACTCAACTGTTTACACCTTAAAATTGACCATATTGGTTAAAATTGTCTGCTTCATTTTTTGGGGTTAGCAGTTTACATAAAGGTTTATAAAATAAACATCTTATTTGAACATTCATGATACTGTAAATTCAGAAATTATTGCGATGTTTTTATTATTGCGAAAAATGCGACAGGGTTATAATCGCAATAATTTAAACTCGCATTTTAAAATTTTTATATGAATTAAAAAAAGGATTTTTCTCAATATCGCAAAAATTTAAATTGCATTTAGTCTAAAATGACAAAATCGCAACAATAAATGCAAGCAATAATTTCTGAATTTACAGTACAATAAATACAAAAATAACACCCCACTCACTAAAAAGAGGAGAAAAAAACCCTCAACTTCAACAAAATAACAACAGCACGAACAAACATCTACCAAAAACAACTGACCTTTTAGTTACATTATTATAATAAAAATAATGCAACTGTTTTATTGTGCATATTATAATAAATTAAAGCAGATAAATTTTGTAATAATACCAAAAATTAAGATTTCAACTTTCACAACTTTTGAAGTTTTTTTATGGCCCTTTTAAGTGTTTATGCTATTAAAAATTTATATTTTAGGCTCAATTGACCTAAATCCCAAAATTTTGATAGTGGCTCTTTAAGAATTGATCATGTCTGGGAAATATGACTGTTTCCAGACCCTTGCCATAATGATTTTATTGTATTTATGATTATGAGAAATAATTGTTTACAAACATTATTTGACATAGTTAAAACAACACATCAATATATCAAAAGACTGCTTCTATGCTCAAGGAAAACAGTTATCACAAAATACTAACATTTAAATCAGTAATTTCCAATTAAATGAAGCATTCAACTGTAAAGAAATAGATCTGAACAGAAGGAAGCTGATTCAAGTCCACTTTCCATTACCAAAAATCCTTTCAATTGAAGTACTAAACAATGTACTGACATTCATATTTCTAGTTATTGATATGATATTTCTGAAAGATTTATTTCACAGTTATTTACAGTCACATCACAGTTAGTAAAACTCACCAGGATTATGTAATTGTATATTTATTTGTGCTAAGAAAGGAAGATGTAAAACTCACCAGGACTATGTAATGGTATATTTATTTGTGCTAAGAAAGGAAGATGTGAAACTAACCAGGACTATGTAATGGTATATTTATTTGTGCTAAGAAAGGAAGATGTAAAACTCACCAGGACTATGTAATGGTATATTTATTTGTGCTAAGAAAGGAAGATGTAAAACTCACCAGGACTATGTAATGGTATATTTATTTGTGCTAAGAAAGGAAGATGTGAAACTAACCAGGACTATGTAATGGTATATTTATTTGTGCTAAGAAAGGAAGATGTAAAACTCACCAGGACTATGTAATGGTATATTTATTTGTGCTAAGAAAGGAAGATGTAAAACTCACCAGGACTATGTAATGGTATATTTATTTGTGCTAAGAAAGGAAGATGTAAAACTCACCAGGACTATGTAATGGTATATTTATTTATGCTAAGAAAGGAAGATGTAAAACTCACCAGGATTATGTAATGGTATATTTATTTGTGCTAAGAAAGGAAGAATCTCTGTTTGTAATACTACAGGGGGACAACCATGACCTGAAAATAAAGAATATAGTCTAAATCACAGTGACCTATTTCTACAATCTAACTAATTATTTGATCTTTCAAACCAGAACTTAGGTCAGTTTACTGAAATCTAAAGGTTCTCAAATGAACTATTGCAACATTTATTAAATTATGAAAATCAAACTATAGAGTATCATTTTATGTATAGCAGAAGAAAGTCAGTATTGTGGGCAGATGTGGCAGAGATGTACATGGGACAAAAGAAATACCAGGAATATATATTTTTAAATAAAATTCAACTTTATTACTAATAATAATCTTAAAAGATACTGCAACGTCTTCTTCAATGACCTTATGAACTGACACCTTACATAAAGATTAAGACAGTCTCCGACATCAACCTGAGGTATTCTTCTTGATATTCTATAATTGCCACTTTGGTTATTCTTGTCGACACATATTTGTCTTTCAAATAATACTGTCACACATTGCCAGACAATACATTAGTACAACAGTCTTTACTAACCTCAACAAACTTGGGGGGCAATCAAAGGAATTATCCAGAAATGATTCGTCAATAAGATTTCAAAAATATACTTACAAGTACTTTTAAAAAGACTTCTGCACGACTCTGAATTCTGTCTTGCCTTCAATTAAAATTTAAAAAACCAAAAGTTTGATATAATAATATTGTTAGTAACATATCTAATTTGTTACCCAATTTTTATCATTGTGAACAATAGGGTCTATCATTGCATGAAATTAACATAGCTAAATTAGTTACAAATATTTGGTTAAAATAATAATTAAAAAAACTTTGCTATTTAATTCAAACTGGATAAAGCTTTGTTTAAAGCTGTTTTCTATCTATTGATACCAATCAAGAAATACTAAATTAATAATAATTTGTATTTTTTCATGTTAAAAGATTTGTCCAAATCGTTTTATATTTTGTCATTAAATTTTAATTTGTGACATTTATATCAATTCTCCAAGATATACCCTTAAGCAACATCAATCAAATAACAAATTTTACATTCTATATCAATCAAATGAAACTGAAATTATAATTGCATCATCTCTTGTTAATATGGTACCATATGCTTACATTTGAAAATAGTCATGGAAATAAATGAACTCTAGACTACGCTTCACTTGCACTATTACATTAACTTGTTCAGTAAGACCTTTAATCTGGGTCAAAGTTTCAAGTTGATGTCCACAACTTCATGGTTAGCTACCATAAACTAATACTTTAAACTACCTAAAATCAGAACTATCACATTATAAGGGATGGACAGGTGATCAGACAGACTATCACACTGAACAGAAAACATAATGGCCCTTACTATGCCAGGTTTGGCATAATAAAAAGAAGAAATATCTTTTGTAGAATAACTGGAGACTAAAAATCATAAAATTTTACTCAATAATGGGAGTACAAAATTTGTGCTCAAAACACCAAATCCAGTAATTTGATTGATTGACTTATGAGTTAATCATAAGATAAATAAAAGTTGGCTTTAACCATAACAGAACTTATTTCTGATGCAGAGAGACTAAGCAATCAAAATCCCTGATTGAAGGAAACCCAGAATACCATGGCAAAAAAGAAAAAAGACAAATAGACAAACAACAGTCTACAAAACATTACCAGTACATAAAAAGCTAAAGATTGAGCAAAATAAACCTGTAAGGTGCACCACAACAGTCTACAAAACACTATCAGTACATAAAAAGCTAAAGATTGAGCAAAATAAACCCGTAAGGTGCACCACAACAGTCTACAAAACACTACCAGTACATAAAAAGCTAAAGATTGAGCAAAATAAACCTGTAAGGTGCACCACAACAGTCTACAAAACACTACCAGTACATAAAAAGCTAAAGATTGAGCAAAATAAACCTGTAAGGTGCACCACAACAGTCTACAAAACACTATCAGTACATAAAAAGCTAAAGATTGAGCAAAATAAACCCGTAAGGTGCACCACAACAGTCTACAAAACACTATCAGTACATAAAAAGCTAAAGATTGAGCAAAATAAACCCGTAAGGTGCACCACAACAGTCAGAAGTTCCTGCTCAAATGATAAATATTTCATTTAACTCACTTACCGTTTTATTTGCTGTGTACCACTGAGGTTTATTAAGTGGCCGCCATCCAAGCCCTGAACTTGCAGCATCATGTTTACTGCGAGATGAATTACAATGGATTATTCCCCTTGTAGCTACTGAAGCTGCATACTCTTGTAGCACTGATCTGGACTATAAATTTTATAGGTATATTACAACTGTTTTAATTATTGAAATTTACAAACAGAATTAGGTATTGAATTTGAATAATCTCCATAGCTCGTGGTATAGGTGTGTATGTATTGGTGTTAATGAACTTTGGATTCATTATTATTATTAGGTATTCATTTTCTTGGCTTTTTGTGGGTTTGTGAACCACGAATTTAGGTGTTCAACAAAATGGTGTGTTTTATTAAAAAACAAACACTAAGCTGTTGCATTATCATGAAATGACCGTATACTGAGCTTTCATTATTTTTTCTGTTAGCATGTAAAATTATAACCATAAAACTCTATGCTGTTTAACAAGAATTGAGATACTTATAATTCAGCAATGTTGCGTGCATTTATTATTGCAACTTTGAAGAATAGACAAAAAAGGGAATTTAATTATTGCAATTTCAGGAAAATCTGCATACAGATATATGTATCAAATATCAGAATGCAAGTTCTTATTATTGCAATTATAACCAAGTAGCATTATTTGCATTAATAAAAACCTCACAATAATTTCTGAATTTACAGTATTCTATTAGACTTAAGTTATTCTTGGATTTAAGAGAATCATAACTTACTGCCCAGTCTATGGTAAGATAATCTGCATCACTGAGATATTCTGTAGATCTGACCAAGTCTTCAATATTTGTATAAAATTCTAAATAATTTTGGTGTAGATATGCTGTAAAGTACTCTCCAGATAAATGGGACTTCTCAACAACATCCTGCAAAGGGAATTAACTCTGAACAAATCTTAGCCACATAAAACAGGTATTATAGAGTAAATTAAAGTGCCTGAAATCTTAGCCACATTAAACAGGTATTATATAGTAAAGTCCCTTTTTAGCTGACTTTTACTCAATGTTGTTATTCCACTGATTGAGATAAAAAAAGGGCATCTGAATGTTTTTGTCATTAATGGACTTTGATGTTGAAGGCAGATTTTCATAGTCTCTGTTGAAGTTATGCTTTTCTATACTCTGGGCAACTTAGAGCTTCACTTTCGATGTACTGTGAGCTCAATAAAGGTACCCCATTTTAAGTATTGCTCGCTATGAAGATGATGAACGATGGATGAAAACACACCAAGCAGTATAGCATTTTCACATGAAGCTTGATAAATTTCAGATCTGTAGTTCCTGAGAACAATGACAGAAATTTCATGGGACTTATTGACAGAAGTAAACCAGTATACCCTCTTCTTTAGAACAAGGCCAATATATCAATGATACTTCATATAGAGATCATGACCAAAGGTATGCATATAACTAATTCATATTAGACATGATTGTAAAGAATCATTTAAGATGTAAAATCCAACTAAAGCTTGTTATTCAGCTGAAAGATCTCACAAGTCTATACATAGTCTCTTATTTAATTTGCTGATTCAATTTTCTATGGTAACATTTACCAGATATTAGTATTTACCATAACGTAACATAAAATATGAATACTTTCAATAAATAATAGTTTACTGAACCTACAGAGCAAGTAATACAAACCTCAGGGTTAATCATTAATGGATCTCTTTCATGTTCTGATAGATGGGGCGGTAATCGTGGTAAGTCTGAATAGTGTACTGAACCAAACAATACAAACCTCAGGGTTAATTATCAATGGATCTCTTTCATGTTCTGATAGATGGAGCGGTAATCATGGTAAGTCTAAATACTGTGGATTCACTTATTTTCGTGGGTACCAATTTTCGTGGATTGCGGAAAACTTGCCTTTTCGTGGATATTTGATTTTGTGGTTTTGCAAAAGTCTTCATAAACCCTTATTGAAAATATGTAATTCGTTGAACATTGAATTTCGTGGTTTACATGTACCCACGAAATCCACGGAAATTGGTATCCAACGAATAATAATGAATCCACAGTAGTGTATTGAACCAAACAATACAAACCTCAGGGTTAATCATTAATGGATCTCTTTCATGTTCTGATAGATGGGGCGGTAATCGTGGTAAGTCTGAATAGTGTACTGAACCAAACAATACAAACCTCAGGGTTAATTATTAATGGATCTCTTTCATGTTCTGATAGATGGAGCGGTAATCATGGTAAGTCTAAATAGTGTATTGAACCAAACAATACAAACCTCAGGGTTAATTATTAATGGATCTCTTTCATGTTCTGATAGATGGGGTGGTAATCGTGGTAAGTCTGAATAGTGTACTGAAACAAACAATACAAACCTCAGGGTTAATTATTAAGGGATCCCTTTCATGTTCTGATAGATGGGGTGGTAATCGTGGTAAGTCTGAAGAGTGTACTGAAACAAACAATACAAACCTCAGGGTTAATTATCAAGGGATCTCTTTCATGTTCTGATAGATGGGACGGTAATCGTGGTAAGTCTGAATAGTGTACTGAACCAAACAATACAAACCTCAGGGTTAATTATTAATGGATCTCTTTCATGTTCTGATAGATGGGACGGTAATCGTGGTAAGTCTGAAGAGTGTACTGAAACAAACAATACAAACCTCAGGGTTAATTATTAATGGATCTCTTTCATGTTCTGATAGATGGGACGGTAATCGTGGTAAGTCTGAATAGTTAGATGGATCATCTCCTGTTAAAGTATAATATATATTTATATTTTGGTTATTTGATTGCAAGACTAAATAAAATGCTCCGCTGGGCGCAGCTTGATACGACCGCAGAGTTCGAACCCTGAACAGTTGGGGCAAGTATGGACACAACATTCAAGCTTGATACAGCACTGAATTTTGATTGTGATTAAATATTTGACACAGCATAGGTTTCTGACACAGAATGAATGTGGTCTAAGAACTTAAAAATTTTAAATTTACCTATTCAAACCATATCATTATTATTTGCTTTTATATATAAATCAGAAATAACCAATTTAAAATGGAAAATTTTAAAGGAAAAAAATGGAAAAACCCCCCCCCCCCCCCCCCCCCAATTTTTTGAACCCCCTTATGATTCATAACCCCCAATCTCAATCCCAGCCTTCCCTTTGTGATATGGAACCTTGTAGTACAATTTCATAAAGATCCATACACTTACACACAAGTTATTGTCCTGAAACTAGAAAAATGCTTGTTTTTTGCCCCTTTTCGGTCCCTAATTCCTAAAATTTTGAGGCAATTACCCCCAAAATCAATTCCAGCCTTCCCTTTGTGGTATGGTACCTTGCAGTACAATTTCAGAGAGATCCATACACTTGAACACAAGTTATTGTCTGGAAACTAGAAAAATGCTTATTTTTTGCCCCTTTTTGGCCCCTTATTCCTATATGTTTTGGGCAATTACCCCAAACTCAATTCCAGCTTTCCCTTTGTGATATGGAACCTTGTAGTACAATTTCAGAAAGATCCATAGACTTTTTGGCCCCTTTTTGGCCCCTAATTCCTTAACTGTTGGTACCATAACCCCCAAAATCAATCCCAACCTTCCTTTTGTGGTATTGAACCTTATGGTAAAATTTCATAGAGATCCATTCACTTGAACTAAAGTTAGAGTGCGAAAACCATTGTGTCTTTGGATGACGACGACGACGACGACGCCAACAACGTCATACCAATATACGACCACAAAATTTTTTTGCGGTCGTATAAAAATGTGCAAGTCTTCCAAAGAAAAGTGTCACCTGCTGTCCAAAATGATATAAGCATAAATGACAATGTGCCAACATCCATGTCTTTGTATTTCAAACCCAAAATATCACTCAGATAAAAAATTAAACTAGCAAGTGCACAATTTCATGTCCTGTAGAAGAATCTGTGCAAGTTTGGTGGAATTCGGTTAAGCTGTTTTCACGGAATTTATTTCAGATTGACAATTTTTTTTAATTTATATTCCTGAATGGGCCATGTAACTTTTTGGGCAATCAAACATATTTTCGGGTCTCAACAATATTATACATGTAATAATATCCTTACCATTAAATTTTTCTAGTATTTTAAGAAATTTGTAGTTTACAATGGTGCAACTTGAAAAAAAAAACACCACAATTATAATGTCTTTTCTTAATTTGATGGCTCTTCTTAACAAATGTTTATATATACAACTTACTTTTGCAGTAGAGAATTTTGCCCAGGGCTCTGAACAAGAATAATGAGGTATCTCTTCCTCCTATAGATGCTAACTCAGAATCAGGGTTAGCTGGGTTTTCAGACTTAGTTTTAGATTTCATCTTATTTGATCGGCTACTTGACTGTTTTTTTAAACTTGTTTTTCCTTTCAATCTTCCTCCTGACATTAGGTCACCAGTATCTAAAATAAATCAATTATATATGTTATACTGAAACATAATGGTGTCATCTTGGCCTGGTCTACTTTATGAAATGAAAAAAAGTGGAATTTTGTATCTATAGGCAATGATTTTTCAGAGACGATTTCTTTTTTAAATGATGTCCATGATTCAATCAACAAGAAATTTGGACTGCATAAAAATGATTGAGTAAATTTTGATGCAAATCATTTTCAGTGAAAATCTGTAAGACTAGCATCTTTCATTCATTTAAGTAATATTTTGTTTCTTTTTACTTTGAATTACATACTAAAAATTTCTTTAGTCATTGAATTAGCAAGTGGTGACTGCTACGACAAGGTGTTAATCTTACATGATATTGGTAATGTACTATTTAGGAAAATCCCCTTTGATGCTCACGAACATTTTATATTTTTAACTTCCCAAATTTATGGTTTGTAATTTTTCTGATGTAGATTTATATCAATTCTAGGAATATATGTATTTTTTATCATTTTTTTTTTATTATTATAATGATTTACTGAATTATTGTTAAACATGTGGAAATTTTATTTTTTTCATTTAAAAATATCTTTGTAATTATGTAATCAGGTATACCATAGAAAAAAAACCCAAACTGTTGACTAATGATCAGAATGGGAATATAACTTCCATTTATGTACATAAATTAGGATCAGCAATAACTTATTACCCAAGAATGTCCAGGCCTTGCGGTCATAAAACTTTCGATCGCGTTTATTGTACTCAGACTCAGAAATCAACCAATCAAAATACTGGATTTGGTGTTTCGAGCACAAATATTGTACTCCGAGTACTGAGTAAAGTTTTATGGCCGAGGGCCCTGGTCTAGTTTATTCAATTTATATGATTAGTTTTACCTTTCTCACAAGCAAACTGTAAGGCATTGATAGCTCCTCTAATATCACCAGCACTTGACATAGCTATAGATTCTAACACAGTCTTGGATGGAATACTAAACTTGTGGCAACCCTAAAAAGTATAATCACAATGTTTTTAATGGGACATAAACCTCAGAAGTTTCTAGCAATTGAAATAAAAATAAGGGTGCAAATACTGAAATATCTTGCCTGCTTTATTCATCACAATTGAAATTTATGTTGAAAGTCTTATAGATCAAGGTCAGATGAACCCTGACGAACAGACATCAGGTGAACCATGAAAATAGGTTAAGGACGAGGGAAATATGCCAGATATAAGGCATCTGTATACCAGATATGGATTATCAAGCTATTTTACTTCCTGAAATATTAGTAAACTTTATACAAAGAGCTGATGCTGCCACTGATGGATTAGCACCACTATATCTCACATTCTGAAACATGATACAGGGGAGACAATAACTTGTCAAATCATATCGCTGGAATAATTTGACATTAAAACTAAGCCAGATCATTTGAAGGTTTTTTTTATAACAGCAAATATACTTGAGAATAAAAAACAATGAAGTAAAGATTTCTTGTTAACTTGGTCGGACACTGATACCTTACTATTAATTCATTTTTTGTGAATGTTTTATTTTGACATGTTTAATTTTGGGACTTTAATCAAACATAATATGAAAACAGCCAAATTATCTGAATTTACAGTATGGTGAAGTTTTATTTTAATATGTGTAATAATTTAAACAGAAAATTTGATCATACACTAATATATAATTAATAGGCTTTGAGATAAAAAAAAACAAAAACAAAAAACATATTAACTTTCACAATCATTATAATATCTACAATGTAAGTGTTATACCTGATTTGATTCCTGGGTAGCAATCTTTGTTAGTACTTTTACCATACTTGTTGGCGCTACTGCATTAAAACTGCCAAATAAAAAGAAACATGGAACTATCATATTTTTATACATTGCACTCTATTCAATTTCTTCCATTAAAAAAACACATGTTGCTTCTGAAAGGCACTTTGTCAATCAGGAGTACCAGTTTAAACTTTTTGACAAAATCATGAAAATTATCATGATGTAGGCATTGTTTTTGTGCAATTATTTTACATCTATTTCATTCATTTTCAATTTCCTATTGTATCTTTGGAAAAATGCTTCATATATAATTTTTTTTTCAAAATTCAGCTCTAGTTGAATGAATTTGAAATGCATAACAAAATTTCATAAAAATCTAAAATGCAGCCAAATTGAGTTAATTTTGTGCTAAGGTCTTAATTTTAAAAGGGGGGATGACAATTTATATTTTACCTGATGTTTTCAATATCTAGCTCATGCTGCAAATCTTTAGGAAATAAAAGTCTTTCATTAGAATCTCCTTTAGTAGAATCGCTAACTATAAACACTAAAGGACATTTACCAATCTTTCTGTATTTTCTGAAATAAAAGGAAAATTAATGGTCTAATTTACTGAAATCTAATATGCAGACAACATTGGCCAGATCAAATTTATTTGAAACTGAATGTAAACCTAAGGCAAGCATAGCTTTATCCAGACATTTGCTTGAATATCTAATGGTAAAAGCTGGCTTTTTAAATGTAAGAATTCAGAAAAATGTTTATAAAATAATATATATTATTTGTCTTGCAGTGTACTAAAACACTGATATGTTGAGTCAATAAACTTTCAAAAATAAAGAAAATATACTTATTTCTGTAACCAAACTATCATCTGCAGATTTTAAGTAAAAGAAAGACATATTTTCATTAAATTCATATAGTTCAAAGTTTGTTTTCTTCATAATACTGTGCAATGAATAAAAGATTATAAGACCAATGAATTTGCGATTTTTCTTATCCAAGATATGCTAAACACAACTAAAAGAGTCATGCACTGTTTTTAAGATAGTTATGTTATACCAGATTGTGTCCTATATTTCTTTCAGTCTGGAAAGAGCTAATCTGATCTAATCTTTGCTAAATTTTCATCTTATTAAGAAAATTCTAGAGGTTTACTTTCTGCAAGATTATTTTACATATGCATACTTTTCAGGTCATAAAAGTAATATGAGGTGTAAAATGTAAGACAGAAAGTCACAATTCAATATGAGTTTTGTTATGTAATTGACTTACAAATTCACTATAAGATACATGTTCAAAAATCTTCAGTGAAGTATTTAAAAATAAAATTGAAAGGTCATAAGACATATTACAACAAAAACATCTTACAGATTACTCCAATTACCGTAACATATAACTACCAACCATTGGTTATTAGGTTCAGTACTTTTGTATTACAACTGATCCTGACCTACTGGCAAGGTAAACATAGATCTTACCTTACTATGTCATGAAAAGTAGAGGCATCTCTGTAAAATACATTTGGAAATTCCTGAAATGAAGATAAAAGTTTGACATATTGATACATCTCCTTTGCTTTGTAGTAAAATGCAAAATAATTATAACTTTGGTATTTATTTCAAAGTAACAAAAGAATACTAAAAAAAACAAGAGTAAACCATGCTGCAATATCAATAAATGCCTGAAATCAAAATTCTGTAGATTACATTTTAACATATATCTTTATCCCAAATCTATGTTTATCTGTGTGGAACATCTTGTACATGTATATTTACCTCAACAAGAATGACTTTCTTTGATGATACTTCTTCACCAAATATACCAAGAGAATTATATTTGTTTGCTCTCAATAGAAACTGTTGGAACAATGACATCTGAGATTCAGAGGACAAATATCTGTATGGTTTGTTATCTAAAAATAAGAGTAAATACCATAATGTGTCTTCAATCGTTAAATTTTAGAATTTTTATAAAGGACAATGTCTCAAACTGAGGTCAACTCACTGCTCAAATGAAGTTGTCAGGTGCACATGTTCATTTGTTTATTTATATTTAATTATTCACATACAAAATGTTTTCAATCTACCTTGTATAGATTTTGAGTCACACACTTAAACCCAAATGACCAATCAAAATAGCTAAAGGCTCTATGACATGTGTCATAAGGATTTAATAGCCAAAATCTTACCAGATATGATTTTAATTCTTAACCAAATAGCATTAGTCTAAGATGTAAGATAAGATAAGAAAGTGGAAGGAACTGAAAACAAGTCACATGGTATGGCATAACCAGATGAAGTTTGGTACCATATTTTAAGAACCTATGACTTGTAGTAAGATGATGCAACAGAAATATGTTACTGGCAGATGGAAAAAAGGAGAGGAACAGACAGACTGGGGTAAACTAGTATACCCCTCTCTTCAGTACCCCAAAAATAGAGGAAATATACCAGTACATATATTCAATGATATATTTTTTTCTTTTACATTAAATCATAATAAACTAAAGTTTTATAAATTAAATATTCATAAAAAATATAACCCTTTTGGTGATATACCTCAGATTACGTATTTATACATCCCTGGCTTTCAAATGTTTTGGTTTGAGTGTTCCTGATGAATGTTAATCCAGAAAAGTGTTTCAGATTAACAAAATTTATTAAGTCTTATTTTGATTTATGCACAATGCACTGAGGAAATTGAATAAATTCTTAAATATTTCTGAATATGGCGTTCGAGAAAGACTGCATAAAATTCTGGAATATATTTCAATCCCTCCAAAAGAACAAAAATAATTTCTCTCCTTTAACTATAGGAATGTGTATAAAAAAATTCTCATAAATTCAATAGCAAATCAATTATGCAAAATTAAAATAAAGCATTATGATTTTGCAAAAGGTGAATCCTGCAGTATGAACAAAGACTTAAAGGAGAATGCTGTTTTATTTCTTTTATAATTTTCAGGGGTTAGCGCGAACGCAGTCCCCCACACTAAAAAATTGCGTACCCGAGATGCCCACATTTGGGGCATTCGCAAGCTTCAGCCTATCCGAAGTGCAATGGAAAGGCCTCGACCTGGGGAGACCGCCTTTTTGATCACGGTGCTCCCTGTACCAGGTAAGTATGCTAGAACAGAAAATTTTTAATCTTTTGAATCATAAAATTATTTTATCACACAAGGTGACTAATGAAAATTGAAAAACTGCAATTATTATTTAGTGATTAATTAATCATAGTTTATAGAATTATATATACATTCTTTATAAACTATAAGTTATAATGAGTAATTTCATTCTTAAAATAACTTATTGTTATTGCTATAATATTGATTTTATCTAGAGGAAATGTTGAAATGAGATAATAAGTAACGACAACTCTACCTGTACGATATATTGTGTTTGTTTTCACCTGTATTATTTAACAATAGGGAATATTTTGATAAATGTCATGTCATAAAAAGTTATATAACTGTTATGTGGAATAAAGATATAATAATATTGAAAATATGACTAAATCTGTAAATTTAGTAACTTTTTTTTATACAATTATCCTCAACGGAGTCATACAAGTTGTTTTAATTGCTGTCTAAGACTAGTAACTTCATATTGAACTTGAAAACTAACAGGTCAGCAAGGACCCTGATAGCACATTTTTGTGTAGGCACACAGACGGAATGCATACAAAGCAATTCATGTTCATGGGTTGCCAATTTTTATAATTTTGACACTAGCAATTAATTCAGGATTTGTCCTAGATAAGTTTTCTTAAAGTCAAAAGCACCAGGTCATTTGGAAGGCATTCTCATAAATGATTGTCTACCAATAATTTTTTGACACAGAGAATCACTTTCAAATTGCAAATTATACCTGAATAACAATTTTTACAAAACAGATGAAATCATGGTTCTAAAAATTTATTTTAATTTATTAAATATATATTATAATTTTTAACAAAATTTAAGTTTTTAACACAATTTTGAAATCATGGAACAATTTGGAAAGCTTATTATAGCTATTTTTCAATATTTGTTGGAATCCTATTAAAATTGTTTGTAAAAAATTGTGATTTTTTAACAAGAAGGAAGTTAATTCCAATTGGAAAAAAAAGATTTGGCACCTTCAATCACATTGATATAAAATATTCACTTATATATCTCTTTTTGTTGAAATCATATTGTAAGAAGATATTTCTCAAAATTTGATAAGAATAGCAGGTTTGCTGCCACTGTTGTCTGTCATTGTGGAACTAAAGCCAAATGCAGATAACTTCTTTTTCTTGGACTGAGATGAATTTAGAAAATTTAATTTTCCCTTCTCAATCAAATATGATTGACAATAAGAATGTTTCATATATAAAGTTTTGAGAAGTAGAAACCATTCTTTAGTGGGTTTTGGTTATTTGCATAGCTGTATATGACATCAGACAATCAAAGTACTGAAGTACTGAACATCAGATGACCGCAAGTTCTTGTGGATGGTCACAAGCACTTGTCTTAGAAAAAAAAAATCACATCTCTATACCTGAAAGTGAGGTTAATGTACAGAGATATATTTTTTTCTGAGACAAGTTCGTGCGTGGATGATGAATAAATGACAAGGAATTCAACCTCACCATAATAACTATTATATTGTAGTGATACAAATCAGTATACTCTGGTTTGTTGTTATATATTATATTAACATTTGTATATAACAGTTACATGTATATATAATTTTCATTTATTTGTATATCATTCTATTCTACTATTTTAATAATAGTGCAGTGCAAGAACATGGTGAACACTCTTCTGTATTAATTTGATTTTTCTAATAGTAATAGATTGGATTTGAGCAGGCATTCATATTTTCCAGCAAAACGTTCTTGAGATATTCTTCCGCATGCGTTAACACAATTTTTCTGTACGTGTGCATAGATATTAATGATTTTTTACTTATATATATATTTCTAACGACAAAACATTTTCATATTATTAATTTATGTTCTAAAAAAAATATTTTTATGAGTATTCATTGAAGAAATTAATTTATAACAAGCGATAAGGAATGTTATTTTGCACTCGATAATGTCCGCTTATTTATACGAACGGTTACCAGTCAAAAACGAAAGTCAAATCTCTGTGGCAACAATACATCGGAATGCCCTCATGGTCATCCCGATGTAAAAATGATACAGTTATTAAACGGAGTATGGGTATCTCTGAAATCTGAAACTTATGGACAGAACAAGATTGAAAGTACAATTCCCTAAAAAAAGGATGAACAGCTGTGATCAACATGTGCAGTGTTGCATTCAATAAAATGTATTTGTCTCATATACTATATCATTGAATTTAATTCTTTCAATAAAGATCATAAACTTATTTTGTTCTTTATTTTGTTTTACCTACATAACATGAGAAATAAAAATAGAAGCAGTAATTATTGTTCTATAAATAAATGTTTTCCTTGATCCGTACATAATATCAAACATAACAACAAAAAGTATTGTTTATAAAGCTGTTCAATATATATTGCTACAGTTTTTTCATAAGAGTACTTCTATGCCTTTGACATGCAGTATTTACCATCTTCTTCAAAGTGTGTGTATCTGTTTCATTGACCTTGATATTTTCAGTATATGCAGTGGTAACGGGGCCCTTTGCAAGTTTTTTGTTTGATGTGAGTGTTGTGCATCAAAGTTCAAACATGATTGGAAAAAAGTCTTAAAACATATTTAAATCCGCAGTGTTGTTAAAAATGATAACTAATCACACCAAGTTACATTTTGCAATTATGAGTGTACACAATCTAATGGCCTTCCAAAATTAATTTTTCGAAATTATTGTTTTAATATTCATCCAGAAAGTAATCAATGGACAATGTTGAATTCCATAGTAATACTATTAGTGGTCATGTTTTTACAACAATTACAGAATGTACCTATTTGACATATTTATGACCTCGAAAAGAGCTCAAAATAGACACAAAGAAAACTTTCTTATGAACTTTATCAACAAATTCCTGTTAATCAGCGCTTATTATTTTTAATGTAACCATCTAATCATCGCCTTTTTGTCTATAGTTATTGATTATTACCATTTCCCACTTTCCCACTTTGTTAATCTGTATGCATGTGTAAGATATTATTGGCATATGCTAGACGAAACAACTTACCTGTAATTGCCCCTGATATTGATTTTAATGCCTTTTTAGTCATGAATGAAAATTTTGAAAAGGGAAAATGTTGGTGTCAGAAATATTGCTAGCATCTATATTTTGTTGCCTGATGCAATAAAAAAATCACATCTTGCGACATTGTCAAGGCCCCAGTGAGATCCCAGATATTTTAATTTTCATTGAAATCCTAGCACAAAAAAGATGTTTCTCCAAATTTGTAAATTTCTAACGACTTCAAATCTTTATTGTCTTTAAACTAAATTCGTATGTAACAAATATATAACACAAAGTGCATTTAAGGCTTCACAAACAGGATAGCACATCCTAATTTTTACAGTGATGTTGTTTACCGAGCCTGTAAATTAAGACACAATTCAGATAAACTTATCGATCCTATAAATAAACTTAATCTCAAAGGTTACAAATTCAACACTGTAAGAAGTTCTTTGAATATTGTTTTTATTGGTATAAATATTGGTTTTGTTATCATTAATTAAAACTGACTAAATATTATTGTTATACACTTATGTTAATTCACTGTCCAACTATCTGTTGATCCCTATAATTCAGAACTGCACAAGGTCATGTTTTACATGTTCTCGGACTGTTGATGACGTCTTTACACTTAATCCATTGGATGTGTACTGATTCATATTTCAGATACATGATTTTTTCAGTTGTTATTGGCTTTGAACTAGCTTTCAGTAACTCTCAGATCTGTACTTTGTGTCTTTTGTGTTTTTGTTAGTTTTTTTTGTGCTTTGTATCAATCTGATGAGTCAAGCCCTTTTCATTCAATTTTAATAGTATGTTCTTATGTTTTACTGTTACACCACTGCCCTAGGTTTGGGGAAGGTTTGCGCCAGCAAACATGTTTAACCCGCAACATTCTGTATGTGCCTGTCATAAGTCAAGAGCCTGTAATTCAGTGGTTGTCGTTTGTTGCTTTATAAATCAATTTGTTTTTCATTTATTGTTTTGTACAAAAATCAGGCTGTTAGTTTTCTTGTTTGAATTGTTTTACATTTATCATTTTGGGGCCTTTTATAGCTTACTATGCTTTATGGGTTTTGCTCATTGTTGAAGGCCGTATGGTGACCTATAGTTGTTAACTTTTATGTTATTTGGTCTCTAGTGGAGAGTTGTCTCATTGGCAATCATACCATATTTTCTTATTTTCATACAGTAAAATATTACATCATAAAATAACTGATCAAGTTAATATATCAAGAGTCCCCTGTCCTAAGTTCTAATGACTATTTTTCATATAGGAACTAAGTTTACTTACTTGAGATGGTGTTGACTGGTTTAATATATAGTTTATTTTTTCATTTTCTGATAAATCAATAAAATTCATGTTATAGTTATATGTTTCATTTAAATAAATATATTTTAGTTCAGCGTTAATTTTACACAGCCTTTGTTCCCTTCTACATATAAAATTTGGTGTATTTAAACAACATTCTACCCGTTAATTTGGTTTAAGACTGCTATATAAGAATTATTTACTTTTTTTCATCTATTATTTCTAATATAGCATAAAAAGGTTTACATTGTGGCTTGTGGCTGATATTTTACAATATCAATGTTCAGAAAATCTGATAATCTGTAAATACATACCTGAAAATGGGTCTGTAAAACTTTTGTCTGTTGTATTGGTCAACGGATTAATCCATTCTTGTATGGTAAATCTGAGATCCTTAGATAAAGATTGTATTGTGGCAGTCTTTCCAACACCAGCTGGTCCTGTTAGCAATAATACTGGTGGCAGCTGAAAAAATGAGGAGGGAGATAAAATACGAAGTAGAATGCATATTCCTGTAATGAAATCGTTACAAATATGCAACATATTGACATCAATCCTGCTTTGCATTGTACATGTGTAATTTACATTTTTTTTTGCTTAAAAAGTCTTCAATGTAGTTTGCATATACAATCACCTATTCCATGAAAGATCACCTCTGGTCATCTTTCAAAGTATGTGTTTAATCAGTCAAATGATTTCCAATAAGAAAACAGTTTTTTTCTTTCAAGTCTTGTGTTTTGAGCTGGTTAAAATTTTTTGGATTTTAATTGACACAAAAAATGAATTGTATCAAAAACAATAATCATGTATGTTTAAAATGGGTCCAATCTTTGTCAGTGAAAAGTTAATTAAAAAGTAATTGAAATAAACTAGGATTTTGCGTACTAAACTGGAAATTATACTAAACTAGAGGCTCAAAGAAGCCTGTGTCGCTCACCTGATATTTCTGTTTACAATTGATGTGTGAAATAATGCAACCATTATACTTTTGCTTTAGTTTCAGAGATATAAGCCAAAAACTGCATTTTACCCCATATGTTATATTTTTCAGCTATGTCGGCAATGTTGGTTGGTACCCCAGGTCAAAGGACACATTTTTTAAACTAGATACCCTAATGATGATTGTGGGCAAGTTTGTTTAAATTTGTCTCAGTAGTTTCAGGAGAAGATTTTTTGTAAAATTTACAAAAATTTATGAAAAATTGTTAAAAATTGACTTTAAAGGACAATAACTCCTTAAGGGGTCAATTGACAATATGGTCATGTTGACTTATTTGTAGATCTTACTTTGCTGAACATTATTGCTTTTTACAGTTTATCTCTATCTATAATAATATTCAAGATAATAACCAAAAACTGCAAAATTTCCTTAAAATTACCAATTCAGGGGCAGCAACCCAACAATGGGTTGTCTTATTTGTCAGGGAAGATAGATCTCAACCTGATGAACATTTTTACCCATTGTCGGATTTGCTCTAAATGCTTTAGTTTCAGAGATATAAGCCAAAAACTGCATATTACCCCTATGTTCAATTTTTAGCCATGTCGGTTGGTAGGCGGGGTCATCGGACACATTTTTTTAACAAGATACCCTAATGATGATTGTGGGCAAGTTTGGTTAAATTTGTTTCAGTAGTTTCAGAGGAGAAGATTTTTGTAAAAGATAACAAAAATTTACAAAAAATTGTTAAACATTGACTATAAAGGGCAATAACTCCTTAAGGGGTCAATTGACCATTTTGGTCATGCTGACTTAATAGTAGATCTTACTTTGCTGTACATTATTGCTGTTTACAGTTTATCTCTATCTATAATAATATTCAAGATAATAACCAATAAACTGCTTCGCCCAGCGCAGCTGGATACGACCGAAGAGGTCCAACCCTAAACAGTTGGGGCAAAAATGGACACAATATTCAAGCTTGATACAGGTCTGAATTTGGATTGTAATTAAATATTTGACTCATAATAGGTTTCTGACACAGAATAAATGTACAAAGAACTTGAAATTGGTTGTATGATTTGCCCCCCCCCCCCCCTAATTTTTTAAACTTGATACCCTAATGATGATTGTGGCCAAGTTTGGTTAAATTTGGTCCAGCACTAACCCTAATCCTAACCTTTGGGTCAGGTGAGCTTAGTAATAACATTTTTTAGAAACCCCAAACAGAAAATAATTAAGGATTTTATCCAAAGATCGATTGGATATTTTGAATAAAATCCTTAATTATTTTCTATATATCCAATCGATCTTTGGATAAAATCCTGAATTATTTTCTGTTTGAAGTTTCTAAAAAATGTTCCTTTTTTAGTATATAAGGCCTTTGTATTTATACATTATCAATATTACTCTCCTTACTCTTGGCAAAAATCAAGGTATTCTCCTAAACGTTTGGCACAGCAAACACCATGTTTTTATGTGGTAATGACATTGTTATGGTATGACAATATTTTGAGTTGGAAAATTGTGAAATTCTGAAAATTTTCATAGAGAGGGGTCAAATTTTGTTGATTTTAATGGCAACAAATCAGTCTATAGCAGAGGACTACCAAACACTGAAATTATGGTTACCAGGCCACCAAATTGTTCCTCACATAAAAGACAAGACAACAAAAGAAATTAAAATTTTGTCAGATTTCAAAAGTAAGGACAAACTAGTGTGTTGTTAACCTTTCTTTGTATCATATTAGAACAAAACAGTATTATGATCACACCTTGCCTTGTGCTGACAAATGTTTCTGTATCCAACATTCCACTTCACTTATCTTCTTTTTGTGCACTGCTAGATCTGACTAAATAAATAAATGGTAAATATAATTTTTTTATGCAGTGCCATAACCATGATAACGAATGTTAAACACAAGAAATAATTTATTCTGCCGATTTTCATTTTGGTAATAGTCTTTAGTTTTCTATGTAATGTGTTTTATGGATTCTTGTGTGACCTTTTGTTAAATTCTTTTGCTATGACATTGTTCACGTCTTTGTCCTTTGGTCTTTTGGATACTGGTAATTTTCTCATTGGCTATCATTACAAATCTACATTTTCAAATTTTACAAGCTCTTAAGACATATATATAAAATATCTGATTATTAGAATAGAATTCTATATAAAGTTTTCAATTTGGCATTTTTTTTAATTTCTAATCGTAAACTATAAATGTAATATCATAACATCTCATCATAATTTATTTCTTTACAAATTGGACATCAAATGGACAAGATTTAACAAAGAGCATGCAAATATGCATATACAAATTGTTTTATCTTCTGTCATAATTAAACTGGTTAGGCATTTTTTCTCATGTAATTGTTTAAAATAATAGCAGATGATGAATTATCATCATACTGTGGATTAATTTTTCTTCATGAGTACCAATTTTGTGGATTTTGTTATTAGGAATACATCAAGAATTTAAATGTTTAACAAAGTTCAATTTTCCTATATGCTTGGATGCAGAATTTGTCCAAACCCTCAAAATCAAATTCTCAAAAATGTGATTTTCCTCAATCCACAAAAAAAAATGGTATCCTCTAAAAGTAAATGTATCCACAATACTAGAATTTATTTTACATGCAGTTTCTGAAGTCCACTTATAGTTTTTTTAATATATTACATTAACCTGATTATCTTTGTGCTCTTTTTGTGTTTTATTTTTGATTGAAATAAAAACCTACCTGAGATTTAGGTGCATATTTGTCTGACCAAAGCTCTGTTTCAAAAGCAGGTCTATTATTTTTAGTGTTGGTAAATTTTTTTGCTGGAACATAAGAACCACTGAAATATTTGTTTACAGGTAGGCTTCCCTGGTTTGATGTTTGACTACTGCTCAAGTCATTTGATGACTTTTTCCGTGACCAAGTTGGCTTTGAAGAATTTTTTTTAGTTGACTTCTGTGGTTCATTACCAATGAAATCACCAAATGCTGATGTTACCCACTGACTTGTATTCTGGAAAAATAAAATAGGTAAATGCTTTATCTCTGTGGATAATATCAATGAGACAAAAGCCTATTAAAACAACTGCATCCACTGATATGAGGCCTACAGGTGTAGATGCTTTCTAAAAGTGGCTTTAATTTTTGCTGAAAAGCTACTCTTGGGACCATGTTTTTTTAAGCATGAATGCATATTGAAATAAACAGTGTCTGAGTATGTTCAGTCCATGATCTTGGAACTAACAGGAGCCCAATAGGTAAACAGATTCTGCAGACACCTAATCAATACCCCACCCACTAACCCTGTTCTAAAATGATAGATATTCATATGTATATGTCTTTTTGTTTAATCATTCAACCAATCTTGTTTAATTTTTGTAGGTAGTTTTTTTGTGATGTCAGAAGTTTTTTGAAAAGACTGAAATGTGAAGTTTTTTTTTCTTCAGTAAAGTGGTGCTGTGTGAATTTGAGGTCATGGTGACCTAGTTATTTTGTTGTATTATATGTATTGAACAAAATCTTTCAACTTAGTTGATTTTAGCCAGAATGGCTATTTATATGTTTTATTTTTTTCTTAACATGATTAATAAATAAATCTTTTAATTTCCAGTGAATTAGAACTTAAACATGATAAAAATAATAATAATGTGGTACCTTGTTTACACTGTTTACTTCTGATCTTTTCCTCTTCCTGTCCAAAGATGGCGGAGGGGAATCAGTCAAGTCAATAACAGAATCATCCATTGAACAACAAACCTTTATTTATCTATAAGATATAAAACAAAGGGTTGTATAGAGTTTTGTATAAATATACATTAATAAACTATAGAGTCCTTCTCGGTCATGATGTCTCACAATGTCTATTATAAAATTTTCAAAAGCAGATGTAAGACCTACCTCTTTGCTACATATGGCTCTTATTTAGTTATAATATAGATTTTATAACGAGTTAAAACAGGATGTCGCTTGATATCATCTCAAGTCATTTAATTTCAATATAACTAGAACACACCCGCGACATTGCGGGTCCGTGGCTGAATTAAAGTACCTATGCCTTATTTTCTGCCTGGATTGTCATCTGATAAAGTCAAGCTGATTGTAAGGTGCACAATTTTCTCTGCTTTCAAAATCTTTCTGTTTGAACCCGTCCTGGTTTTCTTACCAACTTACTAAATTCAATTTTTTAACTAATTAACCAAAATTAATATTGGTATTGAGGTGGAAAACAGCTAAATAGTGTACTATAGTTTGACATTATATATAAAACAACTACTGGAGGAATTCCAGGTTCTCCTGATAGAGGAGGGATTTACAGAAGGTAACAGGTAACTACAACCGGAAACTACATGTGACATATACTATTGGTATTGGTATAGGATTTGACCCAGAACTTAGTAATATTAATCATGTGGAAAAATAAAGGGCCTGGAATGGTGGAATTTTTAAACAACACCATTATCCTAAAGTTGAATTCTTTGATTCATCGTTTTTACGTCATGCCGGCTTATAAATTGGACCTCGTTATTTTAGTAGTACATTGTATAGTTAATAAACGATTATTACATATGCAAAACTATGTTTTTGTTATAAATACGTGATAAACTATATTATTAATCGGAAATGTTTACTATACATTGCATACTGGTTAATGCTTTTAACCTGATGTATATATAATATATATGAATATAGGTCTGTTTTTTTATTGCATCTTTTGTCTTTTCCTATCTATATGTCTAGATATATAATTAGATATTAAAGAAAATGTATCTTATTATTTATATGCATATAATCATACCTAATATAATTTGTTTTTCTAACCATGCTAATAGGAAACAAGAATACCACTCATTCAGTTATAATAAACTACTGGTAATTTTAGCAGAATATTAAATTATGACCAAAACATTTAGCAATATCTTGGCTTCAAAAGTTGAAGGCTCTACACATTGTTTATTGGAATTGTGGATAAATAATATAGTAATTAGGTTGTCATGGTGTTATGAATATTAAAGCTTGACAGTTACGATCCAATATTTGTTACTTTTTTTAACAGCTCATGCTGGGAACAGTTTATGTTCCTGGCTCATGCTAGGGGAATTTTGTACAAACCAAATTTTGAAAATTTTCTCAATAAAGTAATTGATCTCAATATCATTTCACTGACACAAACTTAACCACGAAGAAATAATATAATTTTAAAAGGTCTTCAACTTGAAACTTCCATTTCAGGTCCGTTGGAGAATCGACAGAAATTATCTGTTTACTAGCCATAAAAGGTGTTTCATAAGAATTACAATTCTCTTTTGTTATAACTAAAATGATAAACATTATTTTTTGTACATGTGAGTTACATTCTCAGTTGTTGAGATTGGTAAAAGAATGAATTCAAACTATTTTGTCATTGTGTTGTATCCTTAACTAAATTGAATTACCAGTGAAGTTAGTGAACTACCTTGTACTTTAATCATAGTCTTTTAAATATTTACCACTAGAGGATTGTTTTCCAAAGGCTGTTGATCTTTCCAAAACAATGTCAATGAATATGTTATGAATGTCTCAATAGGGGTGACCAATCAATAAGTATAATCATCAATTAAAGAAGCTATCATTCATTTTAATGTATTTTATCTATAATTGTTTACATCAAAATGAATGTCTTAGGAGTTACTACATATAATTAAATCTTGAAAATGACTCCCATAGGACAAAATCAATTCAACTTCATTTTTATGTGCTCACTTTCCTATCAATTTCTCCTTCCAAAATCTAATTAGTTTCTATTTCCAGCTTTTGATGGCCATCCCATGAGACCACCATCCTGACAATAATCCGTCAAAAAGTAGATATTATCTGTCAAAAATTAGATATTACAATGTATATTGAATGTAATGTGTTCCACTTAAATATTTTATAGGCTTACAGCAGTTTCATTGGGACACATACTCTTTTTAGTCCATTTAGACCATATTTATAATATTATCATCAAAGCCCTGTTGTATGTACCGGTATGTTCTTCACTTTTCTTATGCAGAAAATTCAACATGTTCAAAGTACACAGATAATTATTTTAACATGAAAACAAAATAAAAACATATTAAAGCAAAGGTTTTAACCACTTTGTACTGATACAGACTCTTCATGATAAACTTTTTAAACCACAAGCATGAAGCTCAATTCTACGAAAATTTTAGTTGGATTCTGTTGGCTTGTAGAGAAGAATTTTACAAGCCCGAAAGCAATTGTACAAGCCTGGGCTGGTGGTCTTGTGGTTAAGCTTGAAGACTGCTGATAAAGAATAAAATATTAACATGAATAATTGAATGCAGTGTGCTTCCCCAACAGCCTTACAGAAGAAAGTACCATGGTGCTATCTGAATAGATCTTTCATATGAATTCATGCATTTTAATTGTTGTAATTTTATTATAAGGAAACAGTGCTTTTTCAAATCTCATGTTGCTATTTTAAAATACTGGTGAGAACACTGGAAAGTACTGGTAAAGTGTAAAAAATCAGTTGACTGTAAAATAAATTTTTCATTATAGTTGAATAGTACAATGTACTTATAAGTTATAATGAAACTTTATTTGTGTTCCTCATTTACAGTACAGCAATATTGTACCAGTATAAATTCTCTGTGTGTTGTTGTTAGTGAAAGGATTGATACTTTAAAATTTATTTTTGGTACATGTGTGCAAGAAAAGAATCCTGTAAAAAACCATTAAAGGGAAAACAATACTATCAAGACTGTGTAAAAAGAACCTCAACCTAAAAGTTACAAAGAATCTTTACTAAATGGCATTACATGTGCAATACAAAAAATGAATACTTTTACACGAAGCTGGTGTCATCAAGTAGCAAAACAATCCTTATTTGTAATTTAATCGCGAATGCTATCTTTTATTCTTATTTAGTAATATACAATAAGTCCAAAACCAATCAAATATATTTGAAAACAAACCTCAAACTATTATGTCTTGATAGTTAACATTGTATTGTTTACTTACTAGTTGAACTTTCAAAAATTAAATATTTATCAGAAAATTTTTGATTCAACATTTTCTTAATTGCATCTTTCATTTGTCTTTAGACAGCCTTCTACCAGACTAAAATAACATTTAAATTTCTAGATATATCCCCAGAGAACACATTTATTTCAGTAGTGCATTTCTTAAAGACAATAAATGCATATCAAAAAGATTGCACCTGCTCTACATGTATCTCAATAAGATTTCAACAGTGTAGCATACAACTTTTGGGACAAATTATATCAAAATCATTGAAAAGTCTATCAGCTCTAACTCAAAACATTTAATGTTAAGGGGGTCTATAATTCTGTTTGACAGCTTCACCTTTTAAATTTTTTACCTTTAAGTTTTTCAACTGAACAAAATCACTACTTTATCTTAAAAGTCTTCAGCCAAATTGTTTTTACATGTAATTACATGTATACCCCTTCTTTTGGCTTCTTAATATTTTATGTAAAAATACAAATAAATAAATTTTGAGGTGTATAAAAAAAATTTGCAAGTACAAATGTAATTGAAGTTAAATACTGTCCACACTAGGGACTTCATGTATATTTGTAGACAACATATATTATATATATATTATAATATAGGACTATATTATAACTGTGTCCTGGACCATATAATAATAATGCACACATTGTCATGCTAAGCATACCCCAACTTGTAATTCAAAGTCCATTGTAAATCTGAAAACAGGAAGTATAGATCTGAAAAGCACTCATACATGTCATAATTAACCACTGACCAAATCATTCTGTTTTGACAGTAGTGCTGGAATGTGTGCTGGCTAATTAATGTGAAATTCTTTAATCTTGTTTAAAAATTCAAAGCATCGACGAACAAAAAGTACTTTAAAGTAGGTACATGTACATGTACATGTATCCTACAGGTCTGAAAAGTGCTTACACAGACTGGCAAGATGATAACTAAATATGAAGTCATGCAGTAGTACATTTTATTTGTTCCTTACAAATGTTCACAGGGTATCTTGAGGGTCATTAACTTATTAGACTTGTGTAAAGAAAATAACGTCTTGACTCTTGCTAGTTGAGATGCTTTATGATTCTATAGATGTGTAGATACGTAACAATAGCGTTATGTTACATTACAATAGTATGCGTGAAAGTCTGAGAAACTATTACATTACATAACGTTCTAAAGTCTTTTGGCCCATATTCACGACATTCTGGGGGCCTCAAAATGCAAAAGAAATTAAATTATTTTAAAATGATAAATAATCAAAACAATTAAAAATCTGTGAATAGATCAAATTGAAAGTTTTTGTAAAATTTCACATTACCGGTATGTTGACTGTCCTTCACAAAAATCACTTAACAGTCCTTTATTCACCAGTTACTATAGTTCTAAGGGATATAACTTCACAATTGGTCCTGTGGTAACTAGTCCTCTAGAAGTCCGTCACCTCCTTTGATAACGTCTTCTATTGTTTCCATTCTCCATAAAAGTCGTGGTGATTCTCTTTCTAGTTGAACTACATCACCGATGTTAACTTGTCCATTATGTTTTCCTGAGGCTTGATGATATTCACGTAATTAAGTAAGATATTCGTTAGACCAACATTTTGCGAAGTGGTCTTACAAAAGTCCTTTTCTCTCAAAGTTCTTGAATATTCGTGTTGTGCATGTCGTTGTGCATCTCTGTTATCGAAATAATCCTTCCATGTAAAAGATGAGATGATGTCAATGGTCAGATGGTTTGGGATCTCTTATGTCTGAAGATATATATGTAAGTGGGTGATTGTTTATGATAGTTTCAATCTCCGTAAGTATTGTTCTCAATGATTGTTCGCTGATGAGCGCTCTACCAAAAACTTTCTTTAATGTCATTTTCATTAAGCCAATTAGACGCTCCTACTATCAGCCGTACCAAGGTGCTCCTTTCGGAATGAATTTCCAGTTGATATGAAAATTCAGCTGACTTTGTAGTTTGTTTGATGCGGCTACAAATGTTGGTTTTTGTGGTGTTCCTTTTCGACTGATAAAACGTCTAAATGCGTAGATAAAAGTGTTCAATGACAAATCAGGTACAAGTTCCAAATGTATAGCTCGTATACATGCACATATGAATAAACATATGTATACCTTCCGCGGTTGTGTTGATGTATCATTCATCTGTAGAGGTCCGGCAAAATCTATCCCTGTTGTACAAAATGGTATGGTGTCTTTTACTTGATCCTTTGGTAGTGGTGGTGGTTCCGATCTGTTATACGGTTTACCAATCATTTTTTGGCATTGTACGCATTTATGCAAGACACTGTTCACACATTGTTGAAATGCCGGGATCCAGTATGATTGTCTTATCTGTGTTATTGTCTGGCCGACTCCTGCATGTAGATCCTGGTCACGGCACCAATATCTTGAGGGTTATTAACTTATTAGACTTGAGTAAAGAAAATAATGTCTTGCTAGTTGAGATGCTTTATGATTCTATAGATGCGTAGATATGTAACAATAGTTTTACGTTACATTACAATAGTATGCGCGATAGTCTGCGAAACTGTTACATTACATTGCGTTCTAAAGTCTCTTGGCTCATATTCATGACACAGGGGTTCAAATTAGTGTGGGTCTGAGGTCGGAGACCTGTCTTTTCTAGAGGAGGACTTTTCATTTTTAAATTACAAAAGTCAAGGACCCATCATTCTTTACACTGATGCTTGATACATATGACCATTGACTTCTTATAAGAGGACCCTTCACTTAAAATTTCAAATGGTCCTGGACTTTTCATTATTTAAAGCAAATTTGAACCCTGGTTCAACAGAAATATTTGTTGGACAAATTGACCGACAGCATGACAAGCTCTAGGTGAATGCAAAATACATTTGTAACCCCACCCAACTCCTAAAGTGGGGGCCGGGTATATGTATAATAAGAATAAAAATAATATCCATGTGTATGATCAAACTTATATTTTTTCAGGAAATAAAATTCTTTTTCATGTTGATTATACAAATATGATTTTTCATCTGCTGGGTAAGGTTTTTAACCTGGAACAGTATATATGACAAATTGATCAAATTTCTAAAACCATTAATTAGCTAAAGGAAATTTGTTGTACCATTTGTGTACAGAATGGGGTGATTGTAACGAAGAATACCACCAGCTTACCAATGGACATATAAACATCGACTTCTTTATGGGTATTTCAATCTAAATATTTCAAAGACTGTAGGAAAAAAAAGTCACAGGAAAAAAATTCACAATAATAAAATCAATGAATTAAGTAATTAATTACATGAATTATAAATTAAATTAAAGATTAACTTTATTTCTTATTTCTTACATATTTTTTTTTAGGAATTCATTTACATTTGATGATCCTTTGATAATATTTAAGTTGTTTATTTCTTTGAAATCAACATTTTTGTTTTTCTAATGTTTTACTGTGTTATATTCAATACAGACAGTAGACAAATGGTAGATATGATTGACTGCAAATCTTAATAGTAAATTGCAGCCAGATATTGTTTTAAAAACTTTACATCTACATGTACATGTACATTTGTTTATAATCAGAGAAAGTTTATTCAACTGCAATTAACACTGATTTTTATAGTTTGTTCTTATGTTGTACTGTTACCCCACTCTTCAAGGTTAGGGGAGGGTTGGTGCCCTCAAACATGTTTAACCCATCCACATTCTGTATGTGCCTGTCCCAAGTCAGGAGCATGTAATTTTGTAGTGTTGTTGCTTGTCACCTGATGTAAAATGTTTATTGCTTATAAATAGTGTAACTAATAGGAAAAGCTTCACCTACAATAGTACATGTACAGTGATGCTTGGATGCTGTATCTAACAAGCTGATACATGTATGTCACTCTAGATTTGAGAATTAAAGAGGAAAAGATAATGTTTTTGCTATTAATTATGTTTATTGGAGTACTGAAAAATGACATGAAGGTCATATGCATGGTTGCTTATAAATTATAATTGCTTACATCAACTTCATTTGAACTTGGGTGGATAGTTGTCTCATTGGCAATCATACCACATTTCCTTATTTTTATAATGAACCATATATTTGCATTGATATCGACAATGTATAGAAAATGCATGTACAATGGAGAGTGGCAATTGGCGAACACATAGTTACATTGTAGTTTTCACGATTAACCATAACCTTACGGCTAGGCAAGTAAAATTTTCCTGAAAAGAAGCAGCATGAAAAATAGATTTATGGGCTTGTAACAGTTGTAAGTCAAAAAGTATTTCGTTATTCAGGACAAAGAGGAGATCAGTAGAAATCTCCTGTACTAAAAATTTGCACAATAGTCATGATAGTACAAACATGACAAATGTAGAGCGTTAACTTGAAAAACCTTTTATAATTTGTGAACTGTAAACATTGCACCAGACTAAACTTATTGAATAGAAGTTAATGGATAAAGAATCCCTTATCCATACCTTACCATCAATAATGGATAACAGGAGTATAACAGGATGCTCCAAAGTCAACAAATTGCTTCGATGGTCTCATGAGTGGGAGGTTGTGGTTTCAAACCCTGGCAGGGTCAAACCAAAGACTTTACAATTGGTATTTGATGCTTCTCTGCTAAGCACACAGCATTAAGGAGTAAGACGAAAGACTAGCCAGCTAGGAGTCAGAATAATGTGTCCAGGTAGAGTGACATGTCTTTCTACAGACATGACATATTAAAAAAACCGGCTGAGTGTCTAGGTTTAGTACAAAGCAGGGATAATATTCGCATTATATTATCATGTTTTCGTCCTGAATATGCATTTAATTTGCCGCAGGGCGTTAAGCAGCCATGCATCATCATCATCTGACATCCGAAGTCAACCGAGGAAATTACCAAAAACAACATTCAACAACAACGATGACTGCCTGATTACATTATCACATCTATGGTAGCCCCTCCCTCATCTTATATGTAAAAAAATGTGATAAATATATACATACGAGTACAATATAAGATAGTTTCTTACTTTTGGAGTTTTTGAAATTTCCACAAATTTCCGAAGCTGTTCACCGGAAGTAAGAAGTATAAAGTAACATAAGAAGACCGATACCGTGAGTATTCCGGTTTTTTACATGTGGCGGTATTTCTTGATTTTCAATTCATTATATAAATGTCTTCCCCACAGATATATTAAACTCTTCCATTTTAAGACTATTTATTAACTGAGAGAAAATGTTCACTTACTATATAAATATTAATATAACTTCTGAGTAGTTATCAATAGACGTATTTACACTTGTATGCAAATTTGTCCGCCATTACGTAAAATCACACAGGTTCCCGTAAACTTTGACATCATAATTCAAAACATTTGACGTCACAATTAAAAAGTGATTGTTGCCTGACGTCAAAAGGTGATTCGGAGTAGATCTAAGGTCATTCGGAGGCAAAATATAGCTATATACCAAAAGTGTAAATACGTTTATTTATTCACTAATTGCGATAATTTCCGCGTATATTTCACGTTTCATTCCCGATCCGATTACAATCTAATTAAAATTAAATCCTTTATTTATTAACTGGCCACCCGCTGATTGATACTTCGACACATAAGATTGAAACAACAGCAGGGGTCCAGTTTACTTTATTTATTGCTCCCGTTCTGATATGTATCGATGCGCGACATATCAGAACGGGAGCAATTTTAAAAAGTATTTAATTTTAATTAGATCGTCATTGAAGCGGGTACGCGTACTAGCATACCGTAATGACAATTTGGCTACTCGTCTCCGCATGCGGGCTCGCTCAGACACTGTATGAAATATACCCAAATTTGTTTTGGTGACAACTTTATTTTGTTTAAATAATGTATCGGTTTGATTTCGATTGACGTCAACAATAGTGTGACTTTTACGTTTATTATGTCACATTCAAAGTCACGACAGGTTCCCGTTCTCGAACAAACGTTACACGGAATATCATGTTTTATTCGTGTCAAATGCTGACATTGATTCATACAATTGTATTGCAAAGTAAAGAAATGCAAGAGTAAATCCCATTGCGTTTATTTAAGTATTGTTTGTTAAACCAGTGTTGAGCTAAAAAAAAACCTTTTCTTGTTTTGGTACAGTTTATTACCTGCCCAAAATATTGCCTTTGCTACATGCCCATATCAAAGCTCAAAGTTGGAAGGTGGGCAAATGTCTGTTTTTTTCAATAATTTTGGCATGGAAAATTATTTAAAATATAAATGAAAATAAAAGAGGACAGTCACACGGACTTACTCCTATACTATTAGATTATAGTATAGAAATTTCATTTCCATTCCGACGCTCCTTTTGTTCATGCTTATAACAAAAATAAGAAATATTATAAATTAAGGTAATTTACGGGAGAAAAATCCTCAACCTTTAGCAATTCGAGATGCAAAAAAGTCAAAGATGAAAAAAAACCAACAACATTTTAATCGATATTCTTTTCTAAAGCTAATGAAATCCAAACAGTATCAGAATATTTTCCCTTGAAATAAGGCTAAAAACACCGTCGAAAGAACTTTATTATAGGATTTAGATCAGGATTCTGGTAGACGTAGAGATCGCACGAGGCAATGCCAACTCATCCCCACTGACTAAACGGGTTGTTTTTGTCCATAAATATTGAAAATTGACATGCGACATGTGATCTATCGTGGTAAAATAAACATATCTGTCAATCAGCTGGGTGCATTACATTTGCGAGCATTTAGGGATTGAATTTTTTTATGTTTGTGCGCAGCTTTTGATTACATTTGCGCGCATTCATTTTACAGGTAAAACAGGTAAAATTAAGATAATTCATAATAAATATGACAATAGTTATAATGAATTTTTAACATATTTGTAAAGTTAAATAAATAAATAGGTATAATCTACCTGAATTTACCTGAGTTTACCTGTGAAAGAATGCGCGCAAATGTAATCAAAAGCTGCGTGCAAACGTAATGATTTTTGCGCGGAAATGTAATGGTAATGCGCGCAAATGTAATGCACAGAATAAGCTACTGACAACTCATCAAAAACCTGTTTAAAATGGTCAGGATTTTCCTTTGTCTAGCTCCTTATGAATTTTCTAAATAATAAATTTTAACCGATGAACCAAAAACATAATAAATTGTGCCTCCGGTTATGAATCAAGAGTTGAATGTTTGTCTTTTCTGTTCTCTCATTGCTGGGGCGGATCCAGCCATTTTTAAAAGGGGGTTTCAACCATATGTCCCCATTCAACATAATTGATCGTCAAATAAAGGGGGGGGGGGGGGTTCCATGGCCCGGAACCCCCCTGGATCCGCCACAGCATTATCTCTCATCCGTATTTCACTCTTTTAAATAGATTTTCAGCCTTGAAAAATTGGTTGTTTAGTTTACAAGCAGTATAAAGTTTCAGAGAATTTTTTTTTGAAAATCGTTCTTGCGATAGGAATGAATGAGTTTGTACTTTGTAATGTCGCTGCAAAACAACGTCTGTCAATTTATTACGGACAAAAATTCGTAGCTGAGTATTGATCGGTGATCTTTTCCAGGTCACGAACTTTACTTGGAATATTGATACTATGTATGTCTTCATGTTGCTAAGTTGGTGGTATATAATCTGCAGGGAAAAGAATAATTGAAAAAAGTCTGTTTTTATATCATAGGTACTTACAGTATATGATATCATAGATTAATCATTTTATAAGTGGAATAACTATCATGTCATAAATACTTTGGTATATGATATCATAGATTAATCATTTTATAAGTGGAACATATATCATAGATACTTACAGTATATGATATCATAGATTAATCATTGTATAAGTGGAAACCGTGGAATACATATCATATCATAGATACTTTGGTATATGATATCATAGATTAATCATTTTATAAGTGGAATACATATCATATCATAGATATTTATAGTATATGATATCATAGAATAATCATTTTATAAGTGGAATACATATCATATCATAGATACTTATTATGATATCATAGATTAATCATTTAATAAGTAGAATACATATCATATCATAGATACTTATAGTATATGATATCATAGGTTAATCATTTTATAAGTGGAATACATATCAATATCATATCATAGATACTAATAGTATATGATGTTATAGGTCTTTATAAACGATATACATATCCTACAAAACGATTGTTAATTCCGAATCTCAGCTACCAAAGAAATCTTGATTTATGTTCTTATATTTTTTTAAATACGAAAAGAAGAAACAGTATTCTGAAAAAAAATATTTTCACTTAGAATTGTAAAGCAAAACAAATGCGCATAAAACATTTTGTTAGACATATTGTATTTTCAAAATGGGTGTCATAATGTATTCCCCTTAACAGAAAATCACCCTACTGGGTGTTGTCTAATATATATATACATGTAGTCCTTCGTATAAAATCAAAAGAATCATTGATTGATACACAAGCAAGGTAACAAGTACAATGCGGTATAAATGCTGTTGTTTTCGTACCTAATCGCTAAGATATATTAAGTAATCTGATGAGATTAATAAAAATACTATTTGTGCAATAAATTTTGTAAAATTCAATCATTTTACGCAGTTTTTCGTGTGTGCGTAGCATAAAGCACCTAAATACCAACTTAAAATGTTGGCGAATAGGGCACCAACTATTTTCGTGTGTTGCGGGGTGCAAAAGAAAGGGACAAATGGTTGTTTTTTCTTGGGGAAATATTTTGTTTTTTTTTTTTTTTATCGAAAACTATTGCTTTCAATAACATACAGGAAAAGAAACTAAAACTCAATGTTAAATTAATATTTTCCTCAATTTTCGTAAACTCCTAAATTCTAGAATTATACCAGTTTAAATTGCACGGTGCTACTCGTTTGGGATGTAAAAATATGCAGCCTCTGCGTAATTACTTAACCTTCGTCAATTTTGTTTTATATACCAGTTCAGATCGATGAGTGCTATTTGTTGGGAATGTATTTCTACGCAGTCTCTGTTGTAATAACTTAACTTTCGTCATGCACCTGTGAAATTTTAGAATGGTACCAGTCATATCGCACATTACTTTTCTTTTATGATGCACATCTATGCAGTCTCTGTTGTAAGTACTTAACCTACGTCACTTTTGAAATTTTAGAATTATATTGTATAACGGTAAAGATTGTATTAGTTAAATCAGAAAAGATTGATTTATCATAATCATACTGATGAAGGACATCTGTTATCCGAAATATTTATAGATACACTTACATTGATTGTTTCCTTTTTCTAATATTGGTGTTGTTTAGACATATTTATAATTTATTTAAGGTGAACAGAATCGTTTCTCAAAACGATCCAGCGCCCTCGTAAGAAAGATCGTTGACTAATATCTAGATGTTATATAACTATTTGAACTAATGTATTTTCAACTTAAAGTAATGTCTGCCTTCAAAAGTTATTTAGTAGAAATTCAAGGGGATGTTGGTGAACGGCGTGTTCGACTGCTGTTTTTAAAGTACATTTTCACGATTTAGATGAGTAATATGCCGTAATTTTTCTGTAATAATGTGTATCTTATTACATTTCACCAATGGCAGTCAGCAGGGTTTAAGAACATCCGTTGTTCGACCTGTTAGTCAAATGCGATTGTTTAAATATAATTTTTCACTTTTTTGGTCTTTTGGAAAATGTTGTTTGTGCTGTATTTAGACCCCTCTTCCAAGAAATTTGTTTTGCATGCACACGTATAAAAATTGCGGTTTTTATCCAACGCAATCATAGGTTTGAACGTTGTTTTCAATTTAGACTTATTTATATTTTTTTCGTTTGGGCTTGTATTATATTTGCCTTCGGGTTTATATGATCCGTTTATCTTATTTCGACTCTTCAAAATTCAAGAGTCTATCCTAAATTATAGTAAATTATATGGCCTTCCAAATACCGTTTCGGTTCCTCAGACATCACTGAAGAGACATTAATTGTCGAAATCCGGATATGGTGTACAAATTTCTGCACCTCATCTTTGCGGTATACCATCTTTTCCGCAAGTTTATTGTTTTCTGTTTGGTATTCAATTAATAG